CACCTATAAAGAAACTTATCAAAAAAATGACTGAAATATCAGCAAAGCATAACATAAAACCAGTGGGCCTTTATGAAAACATATCATTGATTCGTTTTTGTTAACAACGTTATTCAAACTAGTTGCTTCTTCTTTCTAGAAAAAAGGTAGCCAACCTCATGAGCAAAGTGGCCAAGGTGTTTCGTGGGCTGTTGGTGCTTATTGAAACCCTTGAGTGTATTTCTTCTGTATTTTAATAAGTGTCTATGTTTATATAATGTGTGTAAGAAGCAAATAAATGAAAGTAAAAAAAAAAACAAATCACACGTTATGGGTTACAGTCCTAAATGACAGCCCTGACCAGTAATTTATTACTATTTTAAAAAATTGGTGATCCTTAGTAATAAAATAATTATGGATTATGGATTGCATTTATTGCTTTAACAGAATGCACGTGATGCAGGGGGTGCGGCTGTAGCAGTTTTTACAGCTAGACAACACTTTCCTGCTGCAACAACTCACAGGACCGTCATCCAGGGGATAGCTTTTCAGCTAGATGAGTGCCTGAAAAGGTGTGTCATGTTGTTAAAAAAGAAGCGGAACTCTCTTTCTTTGCTACTAGATGCCAAAGTGAAATTTAGAAAAACATTCATCATTGTCCATGAGTCCCAAACTGGAAAATAAGGCCACATGCTGTCTCCTTTCAGGTTTTTCTGTCCTTTGCTGCCATCACTGCCCCTGCCCATGACCTTAACCCTCCATTCCACTGTCCTTCTGAATGTCTCTAGTGGTCCACCTTGCTTCCTATTTCCCTTCTGAAACCCAGGTGAAGGCCATAGGGGTTTTAGCAACGACAATGGTGACGGCAACAAGAACATCAAAACAGCAGCAGGTTTATTAAGCAAAACAACAAGTTTGCTTGTGCATCACGCTTTTTTTTTGCCTTTATTGCACGACTATGACATTAAAATGCCTAATTTCACGTTTTATGGAGGACGTACACGAGTGACAATGAAATTTTCTTTCTCTTTCTAAACTTGAGTGCATTCCCCAAGAAATCGACTTCAGGAAAATTTGCCTACATTGTTAGACATTTTCCGCGAATTGGAATAAACACAGCAAAGTTTGAAAAAACACTAATTCATTTTAAAAGTGACATTTTCGCTGCCGTTGCTGTCATTGATGCTAAAACTCCCTATTGGGTGGATGTGGGATGGTGATTCATTGTCAGCACCATTACACACAGTTCCCTCTGAAGAAAATCATGATTATTATAAATGTCTTTTTGTGAAATCCTTTGAGAAAAAAAATTGTCGCTCAACATTTTTTTCAGTGATGAAACACAGAAGAATGGACTGATTCTACTGTATGACATGACAGAATCTGGGTATCATAATTTTGATTACGGTCTTGCTCGAAAAATTTTGGACTTACTAAAGGTGCCTTATGTTTTTAATGTAACTGTGATTAATAATAATTATTATTTTTTTATTCACCTGTTGTGTCTTTTCTGGTCAACCTATAATTTGTCACTGTTAATGTTGCTGAAAACATAGAAAATACCAGTGGGAATTGTGTAAATTTGAAATAAACAGTTCTGTGACGGCAAATGGCGGCACATGATATCCGTGACTGCACAATAAAAACAACAACAAAACATTTCATCATACATGAGGCTGAATGACTCACAAGAGAAGAGAAAAAACTGAAACAAATGGTTTACAAAAACACTTGGGAAACTTGAAGAAAACTTGAGGTTATTTCACAGTGGCCTCATGCATGCCAATGACGAGGCCCGTGCGCATGCTCCTAATAAAACAAGGGGGAAATCCCCAGGACAGGATACCAGCAGTTACAAGTTCTCTACAGTATCATTGCATCATCTGACACATAATCTGACATGAGTAAACATACGACCCAAGCTGAAAAAAAGTCTGTTTTCTATGTACTGTAAGATAACGAAGTAGAACCGAACACTAATGACAATTTTTTCTTTTGTATATTTTACCCAGGGTGGCTATCCTGCAAGGCTTAAGAATGTTTTCATCATATCACCACCACTTTGGTTTAAAGCATTTCTAACCTTGCTCACAAGCTTTCTTCAACAAAAACTCCGAGATAGAATTGAAATAGTACCTAGAGAGTCACTGGTACAGAGACTTCCACAGGCCTCAGTTCCTGAAAGCTTGGGCGGGATGCTCAAAGTGGACCATTTTGCCTGGTTAAACACATGTCTAATGTCATTTTCTGAATCGATGAAAGAAAATGGAGTAGTAAATGCAAGACAAGGTAACAGAGATTTGATTTACACTGAATCTTCCACAACTGGTGTTGATGCTGGGGTGACAGATGAAGGTGCATTGTCTGTTATGGAATTCATGGAGCATTTAATGAAGCTGACACCCAAAGGAATTAAAAATGAGTTTGTTGATTTAAAGAGACGATCAGGCAATGGCAACTTTTACTCTGCAAAGTAAGTGGATGTCATGTTACTTTATTTCCTTTGCAAGCATAGTAGTTCTAGTGCTAGTGATCAATGTTGACATGCAGTGATGATGTCATCAGCTTCCATTAATTACAGTTACGGGAAATTAAAAATAGTTGTTAAGTACAACTAAGAATGCTTGGGAAAAAAATCCGAGCCCCCCAGCGGGAATCTAAGCCATGCCCTTCCAGATACCGGTAGGACCCACCAACTACTTATTGATGAACCAATAAAAATTAACCTTATTAAAATATTTTTAAAAAATCCACACAATGGTTGAAAACCTAAAGGTACAAAAGTGTATAGTAGCTATTTGTGTTGGGCTTGAGGAAAAAAAGAAAAAGAAAAGAATGCAAAATTATTTATCCCAAACTACTAGACACACTCTACATGTAGAAGCTATTAAACTTAAAGGCAATAAAGACATACAACATACAGAACTGGATACAACTTTTGAATCTGTGAATGAAAAGCGACTAGTATTTTTAATACCATTCTCATAAAAGTGCAGTACTTTCCCGTGGTACCAGCCACCTTCCTTATTGTTTAGTTAACTTTTAAGTGTACATGAGACTATAGGGTGTTCACTGAGAAGAACTGGGAATCTTTCATTTCAAGTATTTACATTACAACATTTTTTGTCAACTGAAAGTTAAAAAAAATAAATAAAATAATATGATGTTATTTGAAGAGAGCTATGTCATTTGCAGATTACCAGAAAATAAGATGAAAAATAGATACCTTGATGTTTTATGTCTTGAAGAATCAAGAGTGAAGCTTAACGACTTGGATGGGAATACAGTAAGCTGCATGTATTTCAATCTTTGTTTTTGTTGTTGTAATTGTTGCACTGTATTTTGCTAATGTTGTGTCAAAACAGTGTTTTCAAATTATTTATTTATTAGAATCTTGAGAGATCCCAAACCCACTGTCTTTGACAATTTGCATGAAAATTTACTGCCATTGACATCACTTTACTTGTTGTAACCGTTTACTCTATTCTGACTATCATCTAGGCAAAAGGAGGCAACAAAACTATTTACAACCTTGTTTACAAATCAACATTCATGTACCGGCATATTACCGCACTTTTCACAAACATGCAAACTCTAAAGTTCAAAAGCCGCCTTCACAATTGCATTTTTCGCTGCCATCAATCATAATTACTATCACACGCAACAAAACTTGAAACGCAGAAACACACAAAGCGGATCCAAATCTACCGATCACATCACAAACGATGACCTTTTGAACCCGTTAAAGTAAAGTTTTGTTTCCTAGGAGGTCCGTTAAGATGATTGACGGCAGCGAAAAACGCAATCGTCAGTTGGCTTTTGAACTTCACAATTCTCATGTTTGTGAAAAGCGCAGTAACACAGGGTTCCTATTAATGCACACATGTGCATATCTTATGTGCAAAAATCGTAAGGGATTCTCCCTTCTTTAAACTGAAGAGTCCCAAGAATGTACAGGGACTGGCTACTACCATTACATCTTTGCAGCCTTTGGCCTCATGTACAGAAATATGAAAGTCTGGACATTGTGGAGCATTAATTTTCAAAACAAGTGGAAAGTCTATTAACAGAAATAAATTGTCTCTGGTAGAAGCATGAAGTTCTCAGGTGTAAATGGTTTATATCAAAACACAAGCAAAAGCATTAATTTATGGACAGTACATCAAGTTCCTGTCATTCCCATTCAATAATTATTTTATTGAATCGTTAATTTAAGAGTTTCGACAATTTACTTGGAGCTCAGACATTATTATTATTATTATTATGAAATTATTATTATTATTATTATTATCATTATTATTATTATTAATATTATTATTTACAAAAGGGTAGCAACTTCCATACTATAAACTACATGTATGTTGTATTTCTGCAGAAATCAAACTATATACACGCAAACTACATGGATGGGTACAAGCAACCAAAGGCATACATAGCTACTCAGGGTTTGTATTACTTTATTCAACTTGATAAAATATTACTGAAACAGTACATTATAACTTGGGAATTTGACTCATGAGTGGAGAGTAGTGGGTTTTCAATTTCCATATTATCATAAAACACCAGAATTTTTTTTCTGGAAGTCCTTTGTGTTGCACGGAATTATACCAATATGGTGTTAGAAAATTAGGCTCCAAACAGTAGTCAACAACAGTTAATTGGTTTATGGTTTTGTGGCTTGCTTGCAAGGCCTTTTTGATGGGTCATCACGTAATAAAATTAATGTTTATGAGATGTGGTGCTCACAGTTTTCTTTCTCTGTTAGTAAAACAAAGTTTCAATTAAATTTTTGTGCATTCAATGCTCACTTACAGTGTATAAAACACAATATAGTTTTTAATGCTTTTCCTTATTTATTTATTTATTTATTTATTTATTTATTTATGTATCTTTATTTACAAGGACCACTTCCCAACACTAAAAGTGACTTCTGGCAAATGCTGTGGGAGCAACAAGTCTATGTCATTGTCATGGTAACGAGGTAAACATGTGAAATTTTTCAGGCCTTCAAGTACAATTTTGCACAATAATAATTGTTTATTTATCGCATTATAATTAATTATGATATTAATTATCAGAATTATTATTGATCCTACTTGATGTTTTCTCTTCGAACTGAAGGGAAAGAAAAATATACACCTGGGCTTTGATTTTTATTAATCAATAACAAAGCCCTTTCAAGATGAAACTTACTTCGCGAGGAAGCCATGTTAGCCCTGCCTTGCTACCAAGAGATTTTTGTTTAATCCGTTAACTGATGAGGCACCTCTTAATAAACCATTACTTTTTTCGCAAATTTTAATGTGGATCAGTTAGCATAAATCTATTGCCACCACTGGGAAGAGCGTCTTAAAATCTGTAAAGTTGCCAAGTTTGAGAGTGATAGGATAAAGAGTAATAAATATATGACTCTGCTTTTGACAAAATTTGAAAGGCTTTTGTAAAACTTTCAGCACTGTCTTCGCTCGTTTCTAAACACTTGGCAAGTTCGCTAATTTTAAAGTGATCTTTCTAACAGCATTCATAAAATTACTCTGGCAGTACCCTGTCAGAAGTTGGAACAACTGTGCAAGGATGTATTGGCAGACCTGATATTATTAGTGGAAGGCAAACCTTTGACGTCCTAGATACAGTAGAACATCGACATAATGAAGTGCTGTGAAAAATGCATGGCAAAATATTTTACTTGGAGCGCCATGCCATAAAATTATTTTGCCTTAACTCAGGGGCACCCAACGGCAATTTTCGGGAAAATATCTGTTCGGAAGACGATTTGAGATCTAGAATTTTCGGAGCATTTGTTGTAAAATTTCTTGCTTAGCTTTGCTTGCCTGCCTCTCCTAGGGTTTTCGAAAATTACTCATTTTTAACGGATTTTGACCCTAAAAAAGGCCACCTAGAATTTTCGGGAGCCTTTTCCTGGATGAAATTTTCGAGAAGGTAAGTTTTGATCCCTATAATTTTCGGATCACTAGATTTTCAGCTAGGAAATCCGAACAGATGAAAAGTTTTTAGGGGATAAAAATATGCCTATATCTACTGTCTGAATACTAACATACGTTCAACAATGATATGTTAAGTGGTTTTAAACTATATCCTCGTTGGGTGCCCCTGTTAACTGGGAAAAAGAATACCTTTTTGCACAAAATAACTTTCTTACAGTAGTAAATTAATTACTATGTATGTACATGGCCTCTCACTGCTTCTTACTCATAGGTTGTTGTCTTTTTAATTTCTCAAGGTGCCTCGAGAGAAGTCGAATGAAATGCATCCAGTATTGGCCAGAAAACAGTGAAACAAACCAGTTTGAAACAGTTGATGTGGCTCATCAAGAAACTCTAGAATTTGAAGATCATGTTGAGAGGACATTTTCTCTGAGACACAAAAAGGTAATCATGGCATATTTTACTGCAGAGACAGTACACAGTTGTCTAGTTGGACACTTACGTCCAGAAATCCTAGCAGCTTGGAATTTAGGTACTTCATATAAGACACAGTTGTTATTTGTAGTGTCCATGTCGCTTCATGCTTGACAAAATTGCTTGCGTTTAGCTTGGGATTAGGGCTATGGGACACTTCGTGATATCTATCATAAAAGGATGAATCTTATTCAGAGGGAGCTTATTGTAAGCAATGACCACGGCGACGGCAGTGAAAACGTCGCTAAAAAAATTAATTTGCGTCTTTAAAGACTTTATCGCGTCTATTTGAACCCGCTCAATTTGTCGAATATACAAATGTAGGCGATTTTCCTCGAGTTGAATTCTTGAGGACTTTTTGCAGGTTCAAAAAAGGGAAGGAAAATTCCTCTGCGTATGTTCGCCTCCTGTATAAAACGTCGCATTCGTTGGTTTTACATCGTAATCATGCAATGGACGTCAAACAAATGTACTAAACCAATCCTGGACATATCTGTAGCTAGTCAGTACAGTAGGGTGGTTACATCCGTAGCGGCAAGGCTGATATTCATTCCCTTATAAACGTCTGCCACACAGGCTGTTAGGTCCTCAGATTTTTCACACCTTCGCACCACTCGTCACGCAAGGACGGGGAGCACTGCGTGACTCCGGCCCGAGCGACCGCAAAGGAGACTAGCCTTGTCTCCGCCACTGTGTTCAGTTGTCCCTTTAGACATTCGTAGCACAAGGTCTGTTTCACATAAATTTTGCATTGTCCGCGAGTGGGTCATTTGCACACACTTCTAAGCCCCATCGGTGGCCGTGGTGGTTGCATGAAACTGTTGCTACCCCCTTCCCCCACCCCCCGTGGGCCATGGAAATGTGTAACAGTTTGTACCAGAACGTTGTCGCAAATGTTATATGGTTTTTACGACTCCTTGGCCTGCCAGTAATTATATATCATTATGAATTCGTTCTTCTCGCTTGTTTGTATGTTCTATTTCAAAAATATGATTATTTTATAGACTATACGCAGTATAAATAATTGATAATAAATAAATAATAAAAATAAAATTATTTCAATTTGTGTCAGGTCAAAATTGCGTAGACCGACGATATTTACAAAATACTACAACCTTGATTTCACGGTGCATTGCTTCCGTTTATTACAGAATGTGTAACTTATTACAAAGTGCCGCAACACTTGTAACAAAGTGTGTCATTATTACAAAACGTCCCAGAACAAAAATACTTGGCATTTAATGTCAGGATAAAAATGCAAATCTTCTTATGTACATATCCATTTCCATTTTTTAACCTTAGTCTGGAGAAACGCGAAGGATAACTCATTTTCAAATGACTTCGTGGCCAGATTATGGAGTGCCTTCTTCAGCAGAATCCTGCCTTCATGTGATTGGCCTTGTTCGTGAGGCCCAAACAGATGCGGTGCAGGCCTTGGGGTCAACATGGAAGGGACACCCCAGAGGCCCTCCCATTTTAGTGCACTGTAGTGCAGGCATCGGTCGCACAGGGACCTTCTGCACGATTGACGTCAACGTGGCTCGTTTGAGCGACGTGGGCAAGTGTGAGATATTCAACACAGTGAAGCATTTTCGGGCTCAAAGGGCCTTGACTATTCAAACAGTTGAACAGTACGAGTTTTGTCACCTGGCCATTTTAGAGCATGCCCTTAACATGCCAAGTACAATGCAAGAAGAAAAAGAGGCCATCAGAGACTTCTTAGAAGGCTGGAAAATGCAACTGAGGGACTCAACTGACTGATGAGTGGATAGTTGATGTTTGCGGTGCGAAGGTTGCTGATGTACCCCCTGGTCTCTGTAGTCATAGTGTATCCTTAGATGACAATACATGCTCCACTCATCAGAGACCTTTAGATTCTAAGACGAGAACGACTACGAGTACGAGATTTTCTTGATACATAGTAGTGCACGCGCGTGAACCAGCGTCATTTTGGTGGGAAAACGTAGCCGTCGTTATTCTACCACGAGTTATAACGAGAATATCGTAGTGCGCTTTCCATTTACCAAGAAATTCCGGTTCGGAATTTTCCGTGCGTTCCACTGAAAATTCCCGGGGATTGGTGGGATTTTGAAAAGGTTGTCCTGTTTTCCCGCTGGAAACTTTCCGGTGGAAATGCATGTTCCAGTCACGAGTTTTCAGAAGGAATCACCAGTTCCAGGCTATCCACGGTGATATCTGTGTCACCATTTTGAATTTTAATGATGAGAGCATGAAAGAATGGAACTTGTGTCAAATGGAGCACGTTCTTAACTCGTTGGACCTCTCCATGGAAGTTTCTCAAAGTTTTTGGTAAATGAAAAGCGCCCGTAGTCATCGAAACAAGTAATCAAATGTTAGAAGACTTACCATTTTAGGATCAGGGGAGGGCCTATCCTCCTTCATTAGAAATAACAGTGCCAACTTTTCTGGTGGAAAAAAGTACAACGAAGCTTTCTGGGGTGCCTATTTTTTTTAGAATACAGTCGACTCCCGATAACTCGAACCTTCAAGGGAAATTGAAAAAAGTTCGAGTTATCGGGAGTTTGAAGCAAATAACCGGAAGTAGGGAAATGAGCCAATGGATTCTGAGGGAATGCAATTAAGCAACAAAGTATACAGAGATAGACACTGAGTTTGAACTGGAGTGACAAAAAAGGAAAGACAAAGAATTGACTCGGTTGTTTTAAAATAAATTCAACGTTTCGGACATCAATACACGGTCTCCTTCCCAACTTGTCACGTGCTTATAACATGGTTCGAGTTATCGAGGAAAAAATTGTATAGAAATGATTTGAACGGAAACAAAAATTACTTCGAGTTAGCGGGAGGTTCGAGTTATCGAGGGTTCGAGTTACCGAGGGTAAAATTACAGTAAATGTAAGAAGGAAATCCAGCGGAAATCGACTTTGGTTCGAGTTAGCGGAAAGTTCTAGTTATCGCGGGTTCAAGTTACCGAGGGTAAAATTACAGTAAATGGAAGAAGGAAATCCAGGGGAAATCGACTTTGGTTCTAGCCTCCCACGCAGACGTTCTTACGGGTTCATCACGCAATGACGAACCCCCTAAGAAAGTTTGCGTGGCAGGCTACTTAGGTTCGAGTTAGCGCGAGGGTCGAGTTATCGGGAGCTGAACTGTACGTGAAAAAACTTTGTTACCTCTCGTCCTTGTAGTCGTCCTGGTCCTGAAATCTGAAGCCGTCTGTAATTTCTTTTGATGTGAGGATAGTTGGCCACTGATATTTTTGCCACATACGTCTTCTGTTATCTGTAATTGAGTAGACAGGTGGCAAAATAGACTCATTTTCTGTTATTAATAACAGAATAGAAAATCTAGAACTTAAACGTTTTATATTAATCTGTTCAGGGAGATTTTATTTTAAGTTATTCTTAGTTCTTTCTTGGTTTTACTCGTAAAACGTTTCTGTGATACGTTTTACATCAAGAGCAATACTTGCTTAATCTGAGTAAATCTCCTTAGCATTTTCTTAACTGTAGAGCATGCTGGAAAGACAACAACAGTTCTCTAGGACATGAGCTGTTCATTTGTACTTTGATAGATCATAAGTAGGGGCCAAACGCTTAGTATTCGATCAGCACACTAGTATATAGGAAGTATTAGGTACTAGCAGAAACTCATAAGGGGTTGAATCAACCCCTTATGAGTTTCTGGTACTAGAAGCGGATTTTGGAAAACTGCCCACCTACCCCTCCCCTAAACCATCGTTATCACTTACTTCTCACTTAGGGTAAAATGTTTGCGTAGGGGTGGGGTAGGTGGGCACTAGAAATACCTAAGATGACAGCAATTTACTCCAGGAAAAGGTTCTGGGGAGGGGATGGCGACTGTCCCATATTCATTTATAGTTGGGCCATGCCACAGAAACAGGGTTACTAAGCAGCAAGCAGTAATGTAATTTGCATGCTCTTGCTTATCAGTTCTTGGAACTAACACTTTTTTGGTGACATTTTTTGTAGCCTGCAGGCGTTATTTTTTCGCATTTTTCAGGCGAGCGAAGGCAAGCGCGAAGCAAGCGAGGAGCGCCAGACACGGGCGACTGGGAAAGGTGCGCGCACGTGTCCCGTGTCTGCCGTGTCTAGCTCGCCTGAAAAACGTGAAAAATGGCGCCTGTTCTCCAAACTAATTTTTGTGTGGTCATTGAGCGTATCAATGCAAAATTAGTTAAGTAAGTTTGGATTTGTTAGTTTTCTTGTAAATATCTTTTATTAATTAGTTAGTATATTTTATGATCATCAGACAGTACAAACTGTTATTAATTTTAAATTAAAAGGGTGCTACCATTATTAATGGCCCCAGAGGTGCTAACCAGTGAGACTCAGTCTTGATAGTCTGTATATGGCACATTAATGAGGTAACTGGCTAGAATAAACGAAAAAAAGGGAATGTAAATAATAGCAAACCAAGCATTGATTTGGGTGCGATTTAATAAATATAGAAAAGTTTGTTTCCAATCCTGAGCGAAAGTCACGTACTGACAATTCAGTCCAGGAAAAACGAAAAAAATTCTAGGAAAGGACAACTCAGGCAATTCTGCAATAAGACGAAAGGAAAGTCTACGAAAAATGGGAAATTTTATTGCCACAGGGCTTTGTGAAGATTATTTAAAGACATTTTTAAACCAAAAAACCTTCTGTAGTTGATCAATTTCAATACTCCAAATCCTGCCAAAAATATAGTTTACCGGGAAAAAATTGCAAAGAGATCAAAAAAGGAGAGAATTACTATTCATGAAATGCGAAAGAACTGCGAAGTGCAAGGTAAACTATAGTTGTTCTTAAAAGGACAGCATATGGTCAGGCTAGGGTAATGAGTGGAAAACCCTGATGGTAAACAAGCAGTATTAATTTTATATTAGTCTAGAAATACCACAGGTTTTCTATAAATACCGCTAGGAACTATTTGCGTGCACTGATTTCTATTTTCAGTCTTGACTTCCTTGTTTTTGTTGTTGTTTTTCTTTTTATATTAAGTTCTGATTCATCGGAAGGATGAATCGTGAACCACTTTTTTTAACTACTTGAACTCCTAACTTATATAAAGTACTTTACTTCAAGTTTATGAAACTTGTCATCCATTTTCAAAAGGTAATGTATGATTATTACTTAAATCAGACTTTTAATGTAAAAAACGCATTTTTTGCGTGTGTCATTCGATGAAGTACAAAGGTAAATGCCCAGTATGTGAAATTAAGTTAATGAACTGAGATAGTTAAAAACAAATTCACAACTCCTTGCTATGAAATAAAATTCAGTACGAGGGCTCATTATTTATGATAATGTATTCTTTGGTGTAAAGTCATCACTCATGCCAGCGTTTTATTTACCATTTCTCACGAAGAAACAAAGAAAAGGCGCCCTCTTTCGTACTCTCCAGCGAAAAATAGTACCGCTTTTCCGTAACCTACTTTTAAAGAATACTGCATCTCTTTTTTTAAGAGTTTGGCATGAGGTTAATGAACGTCATTGCGGGAAGACCGACAGACGTAAGAGTGGTCTGCTCGAAATTTCTTTACCCTTGGATACGCTTCAACTCGCGCATACTGTGAAGTCTGAAAAGCTACCCCTTTTAGGTTGGGCCTCCCCGTATGTCCCACCCCATAGGAGTACTACCACCCCCTCCGGGTGCCAGTGCCTTTCAGGGGGAGCCTCCCCATACATCCCCCTGTAGGAGTACTACCTCCCCCTCCGGGTGCGACTGTCTTTGTAAACACGATTTTGGAACGCTACAAGTTAAACTGAAAGGTCAAAAGGTGTTGGCAGAACAACAGTCATTCTCCCTTGTTTTTGCGAAATAGTGCCCCAGCTCCCAGGCTAACACATTCTCGTCCCCAGAGCTCGTCGTTTCTTAAGTCACGTGGTCTTGACCGTCACAAATATGGAGACGAGAATGAGGCTCTGAATACGGCACAGGCAGCCTGAACTCTTGAAAATAATATACTGCACATGCCGACAATACTTAAGAGCTCCCCTTTATCAGCGTTTGGGTAATTTTGCTTCTAGTGCCAGGTGGTGGAGGGTAAACAGCTTATAGCCCTGCCTGGTTGTTCAAACCGGTGCTTAGTGGCTAAGTTTCACTGAAATCGAACCAAATGGTGATAAAGTCTAAGATCTGAGGACCCAGCAAGGAATGGTGGCAAGACAGTCAGTAATGAGAGACTTATAAGTCCGATATAAATACTTTTATTTTTTTAAAAAACTGCAGCATTACAGCAAATAATGGACAGTCTCTATACACAAAGCTCTTCAAATTATTACTAATGCACAGCTGAATAAATTTTTAACCGATTAAAAAACATCACTTTACAACAAGCACAAGACAATGCCTTTAAGTCAGGGCTTGTAATTATTTAGAAAATAATTTATTTATTACCAGCAATGTTAAATAGAATCCAAGGCTTACAATATCATATTAACAAGATTTTGCAAAAATAAGTACGCAAGCATAAGCAAATTTTCTGTACAGAATAGCATTAAATTTCCGCCCACCTCTTTCCCAAATAAATTAATTTTGAATTTCTCCTTATAAATATTTGTCTCCTGTTTCATATTCCTTTTTTTTTTCTTACATAAACTTCCCTTTTTGAAATATATGTAGTTAATATAAGAAATTTTAAGACAATCTGAATTGGTAAGGCTTCAATAATAAAACATAGATTTAATATTTTAGCCTTGCAAATCAATAATTGATTGCAATTAAGTCATTTTAGCTGTCCACACAACTAATATTTCAATCACGTCATTAAAATCACATCCCTTACTTCAATATAAATCTACTTTCAAAGTGCTCATTAGTGCCAAAACAAAATTAAAATGAACAGCTTAAAAGTTTTAAAAGAAATAAAAATAATTTCAAGAATTACTTTGTGAATTTCTCCTATAACTTTTAAAAACTGCAAAACACAACACTAGTTAAAAAAATGGGGATGAAACCTAACTAAAAAAAACAACATCCAACTAAAACCCACCAAATATCAAACCAAATTAGTACCCAAGAAGAGTCTGAGAGATCTACAGATAAAGCAAAGTAACATACTGTACTATCAAAATACTGTACATTTTTTTGGAAAATATTTTTCCGTTTCCCCCTACCCTGTAAAAAAATGCTTTGAACTGAACCTATAAAACCGGAATAACATGGATAGAAAAAAATAAATAATAATAAACTGAAATGACTTCTAACCTTACATTCTTTTATTCTTGGGCACAAAACACAACTATGCTACTGTTAAAAATAACACAGACCAAATGGACCATTAAAGACATTTTTCTTACAAGTAAAATTGACATTTTCTTGAAGATATGCCTTTCCAAACACACTATCTAAAAACACTGAAGATGGTATGCGGGCATGTTGCAGATCAATAACAGTCTTTGCTGGATCTAAAATTTCTGTAGTTCCCTTTAAGGATGCTTGGATTTTAAATGCAGCAGACAGAGTTTCAAGTCCTTCTTTCTTGCTTTCTAATCCTAATCGTTCCACTACATCATCTCTGTACTTCTGTTCATAACGCTCCCCACTGAACGACCACGCCTCAACATGATCGAGTATAATGGGATCTGATTCTCCAGAATCTGCCATAAAGTCTTTTAAGGACATAACTTCACTTGAACTGTCGGTTTCTACAACTACTTCTTTAGGCACTGGGGCATGTTCTGTGGTGTCTACAGAATTGTCCATGGAAAGGCACTCTTCAAATATCCAGCCTTTCAGCATGCATTCCTCATAATCTCCTATCTCATCCTCTATATGCAGGGGTTCCAAACAGATTGGTTCATCACAAGGAAATGAATACTGGTGTAGGTACGGATGTGACAGAGCCTCTTCAGCACTGATTCTTTTGTCTGGGTTGAACTTCAACATTTTAACCAGCAGATCAAGAGCTGTAGGGAAAATAGAAATACAACGTCAATCAAATATTGCATCACCTCCACATAGGAATACAATAAAAGGTAAAATTCAGGAACAGGGAGTTCAAGCAACCAGAGATGGAAGAAAGAGAGGCCCAAAAAATTAAGATCATTCATAATAACAAAACAATGCCTCTAGACTGGTTTAGCAGATTGGTACATTTCTCTGCTGTTCACCACAAATTATCAAATTCAAACTACCCAATGCACCGTTTTACGAGAACTGAAAGCGGTGTTTAATTTCAATGTTTTGAACTCGAACACTTTCTCTAGAAACTCACTACCTAGGAATTCAGTTCATTTATTTCAAGGTAAAGAGGGTGTGTTGTGTATACAAGTGCCCATTTCCTTGGTGTTGCTGTTGAAATAAATTGCTGGTCCTCCCCTTCTAGTTTTAAGGTTATTACGTAAGGGCAAGAACATTACATCTGACTTGCTGTGTGCAAAACAAAGAAGTACTACGTCTTTTATGTTAGCGAGAGTGCTATGATACAAAATACTAAAAATATCGCAAGTGTTGCGCAGGCTTGACAATATTTTTAAGAGATGTTCCTGTTGAAGCTTGGAGAACTTTAACCGACAGCTTTCTTAAGTGGATGTTTTTATTACTCCCGTCATTGTTTGACTAATGCATGATATCTAGCATGAAAGAACCACCTCTAGAACAATCCCTGCTATTTAAGCAATGTGTCACGCCATATGTGTTCGTTTCAGATGCGAGCATTCTTGTCTCAGAAGAGGTCGGTCAAAAGATTCAACGAATTAATTGTATGAATCTTTGTTATTCCACTGATCGTTATGCAGAACGCGGCAGTAGCTTTAAGCGTCTTTTGATACTGTGTCTTACTTGTTAATAATAATAATTTCGATTAACACCTTGAAACAGAATTCGAAAAATACTTTTTCCTTACTTTTGAATCAACCGATAACGTGACAGATTCCCTAATAATGGATCGATTTGTTATCCATCGCGTAAAAGCACGAATGAAGACATACACGTCAACGTAAGGCATAAACACGGCTTTTACGCGCAAAGCGATCTGTAAGAGGAAATTTGTTTCATCCGTTTCGTATGGTACAAAATCACACCGCTACGCTAGAATTTCACTTATTGCGGTAATATGTAGATTTCGCTGCGGTTCGTTGAATTTTTAACTAATAGCTAAATTTAGAAACAATTACACGAAACTGAAATTTACAGAAGTCAAGAAAACCCTTTCTATTTCTTTCCAAACGGAACAAATAAGAGTCGAAAACGACTGAAAGAAGAAATATCACGATATGAGACATTTTTAGCCCACGATATTCTTTTGTTTACAAAGTGCTTGACAATTCTTATGAAATATTAATAGGGTACCAAAGTACAACTCTCGACTCGGTACATGCTAACTCGCACAACCTAAATTTTAGTAAAATTCAAGAATTACCCAATATTGCAGTTTGACCACAAAAAAAAGGTTTATTATACGGGTTTGTGAAACAGAAGGAAGGAAAAAGCTAAAATTAAAGAAATAGATAATCGTTAGAAAACAAGGGCGTTGCGGGTGTCCCGCGTTCATTTTGCGCGCATAATAATGAACTCAATGTTTACATGGATTTCAACCAACAACAAAACCACCTTTACCTTGAATATCTACGTAGGAAAACTTGCTTCCTAAGGGCGATCCTTGATTTTCTGTCTTCGCCATTGCCGTCTTTTCAGGAATTTGGGGTCTAAGTTTTAACCACTCTTCCTCCGTGAGGCAAACAGAGTCGAGGATCAGTTCGAGTTGGTCAATTTCATGCTGCCCTTCGAACAAGGGTTTACCCAACAGCATCTCGGCAAAAACACAACCAGCGGCCCAGATGTCCACCGAACTATCGTAAATCGAAGAATTTAACAGCAGTTCAGGAGATTTATACCATAATGTGGATATACCGTGCGTGAGATAGCCGTTATGCGAATAAGCCGGGTCTAGAATTCGAGAACGGCCAAAGTCGCCTATGGTCAGCAGAAGAGTCTCCGAGTCTACTAAAATATTGCTTGGTTTAATGTCTCTGTGAACTACATTACTAGAATGAATGTATTTAAGTCCTCGGAGCAGTTGATACAAAAACAGTTTAACGTAATCTTCTCGTAGCTTTCCTTTGCTTTCCAGAATGCGATGAAGATCGTTATCGAGCAGTTCTTCTACAAGAAAGAGTTCCGTTGCTTCTTTGAAATTTTCTGCCGCGCCGTCTTGAAACGCATAGCCCTCGGAGTCCACAACTTTTGTTAATTTCAATATATTTTCGTGCTCTAATTTCTTCAAGATTTTAACTTCTCTCAGAGCTGCTTTACAACTCATTCGGTCTCGAACAAGAAGTCTTTTCAGGGCAACGCGTTGGTCTGTTTCCACATCGATCGCTGAATAGACAGCGCCGCTGCCACCGGTTCCCACAAGTTTCGTGTTCGTGAAATTAGGACCAAGAAAATCGGAATTCGCTTCTTCTGACATTGTAGTAGTCTCGATCTATGAAGTGTGTTCACCAAAACTTCAGGGCGAAATGATTTAGGATTAGAAGGAAATACTTATTTCAAAGGGCGACATCGTCACATGTGAGGTAAGGGATAGCTCTTTCCTGTGCCCCCGCCAAAAATGTTTTACCTTGACATCGGTTGACCAAGTTTTTTTACCGGTAAACGCAGTTGCGACGGCAATATTATACCACGCGTGATTGGCTATTACATTTATGGTTTAATGTAAGAAGGCCTGTGATTGGTCGGATCACGCTCAATTTACTTCAAAATCAATCATATCACATGCTCTTTCACATGACAGGGCAGTGGGTTGCATCAGGTGTTCGGAATAGTAAACTTCTGCCTTTGACTCGCGACACCTTTCTATTACATAACTGAAACTACAACTTACGGCGCGTGCAACGCAGTATAGGTGTCAAACGTGCGCCACTTTAAATGTGTTGTAATATACTGTATTTATTTTTCTAAGGAGAAATACTTCGTGAGTAAGGCAAAATTATCTGTCCGTGCAAAGAATGGTCAACATACGAACGCACGCAGCAATCGTGCAACGTCATGAAGCTGTAGGAAATTTTTGTTTTGACACACGCAGGGCAACTCTCTTTATTAGTTTATACCGGTACTTGCTTTGCTCTATCTTATTATTTCAATATCACTCAAAAGGGAGCCATTTTCTTAATCTTTGACAATTTTTTTTTTCGCTGGAATATTAAACTGTAAATTTGTCACGATTTTCCATCGAAAACTTGCACTTTAAAAATGTCTTTAGAGTTACGTTTGACATGCGTGGGAGCGCGACTGACGAACGCGAGTGACGACGAATGAAAGTAGATTTGCATAAAAGTATAAAAAATTAAAGGAAGTTGGATTCTACAGAATCGATCGTACTTAACGAATGACGTAGTCTTCTAACCGACTCAGGAATACCTTATAGCTTCCCGTCTGTTTTGGCCAAGAATCGCACTGATCACTGCAAAGTAATGTGAAGGAAGGAAAGTCGCGTAAAGACCTAATAAGAAGTCTGATAAATTCGTTGTATAAACTCGAGGTGGAAAATATCACCTGTCGAAGTGACTGTATTCAAATTTAGCACAAGTGATTAAAAATTTACCAGTATTTCTAAAAAAGAAATAAAATAAAAACAAAAAGGTAATAAAAACGACCTGAAAATACGCACTGATAATGAAAACTTGGGCCAAGGCCACGACTCAGCCCTAAGGCAGTACCTAGTCGCAAATCGCGAGAATAGCCAAAATTTTCAACGCGAATGTACATTCCCAGCTCTCTTACCACAAAGGGAAATGTTTTAATTTTAGAAGCTAGCCACAGGAATGACTTTGAGACCGCATAGCCACTAAGAAATAGTGAGATGGTTGTCGGTTTTTCTGGATAATACTTCAGATTTTAAATATGTTCGACAGTCACATCGAGCTTAGCTAGAGAGCTGAGTGCTACAATATTTAAAAAGTAAATTAAGCTTCAAGTAAAAAATGAGAAGTAATCCGCATGTGGGCGGTTTAGTTTTCTCTGAAGATGAAATAATCATATTTCCGGCAAAACATGTAATCTCCTTCGTGTGCGGCTATTACTGTGCCATGCCACAGACACTCAATTACTAGTCACATGTCGCCCAGCGATACTTTGTTCATTGTTTTTAAACGGCTCGCTTCAAGACTTTCAATATTCATCTCGAGACTGCATCTACGCGCCAAGGGTCGTTGATTACTCTCAAACCTACCGAAAATATAATTTTAGTTCTTTGACGTAAGTTGCGATCAAAATTAAACACGATCATGATGACTCAAAGTGACTGACTTATAAAATGACGAATGACTCTGCAACAACATAAAATATCAAGATATTCACTAAATTTATCACTTAAACTTTTAGGACTGAGACTCCAACATCACTACTTTTTCATCGATAGTAAAAATGCGCAAAGACTAAAATTAAAAAATATGCTCCGTGATTTTTACAACTCTATGGCTGGTCGCCATTAGCGGCCTTCGCCAAAGTTTTCTTTAAAACTCGCACAAGTGACCTTGCCTGCTCGCGGGCTAGGTGCCTACTTATTACAACACAACAGTCGCTTTCCTTGTTGTAAAAGGTGGCGAGTCAAGCTGCGGAGGGATATCAAAACCCGACTTTCTGATCTTCCAGTAGCCCGTGTACGGCTGCACCCGTCCCCCTTCCCCTCAAGTTCGGCTTTACACAGGCTATCTTCCAGAAGATATACCCTTTTATGTTTTGAGCGCTATAACCTTTTGAACAACGAACGGTTCAGCGTCAGGCTTTCGTTTGGTACTGCTTTGACTGACAAGAGTCTGGATTCGAAAGCTAGACAGACCAAAAACCAAAATGAATTTAATAAAATTGGCGGCTTAACCGCATGTATTATTGAAACCACCCCCGCTCGATCCGCTTGTCATTATATCAAAGCCGCAAAGATATCAGGTAAAAGAAATTGGCTTCAGTGTGCTGTGTTGACGTTAATTATGAGTACCTTTATTCATTTTGCTGGATATTTGGCTGTAGTTTAAAAAGTACATGCCGTGAGAAATGACTGTAAGATTTAAAAAGATTCTAAGATTAATGAACAGACTCTAATCATGAATATTGATATCTCTGATGGTATTATTAATTGTATTTGAAATATATTGTTAATATAAATATAGCCAACTCTAGTAAAAAACTGTAGCTTATGACTATGATTACACAATAGTAAATATATTCTTAGCGAGGAAAATAGAAAAATTACAGTCTTTTTAGTTCCACTTCACTATTGAAAAATAACGCAGAAATTCATCCGGGATGATTTTTGTTGAAGAAATGAGCCAGTTTTACAATAATATTTCCTAAAATGAACTCGCCACAGACGTCCTTCAAATCTCAGCTGAACCTTAAGCTGTTGCCCAAATTGTCGTCGTGAAAATTACAAAACTCAAACAATCGTCACATCTGCCCCTAAAACCCCGAACGTTTTATTGAGGGCGTGGTTAAATAAACAGTTACCGAAGAAAAGATGACCTGTAGAGTGTGTGAATTGAAAAAAAAAAGCCCGTTTAAGAAGCCCTTGCTAAAACCGGTTTTTAGGTGGAATAGTGTTATAGAATTTCCTTAAAGGGGTCTAACATACGGTCCTATCGAAGGTTTATATATGTCTGCTTAAAAACAACTGGACCAAGTATATAACTAGTCAAATGACTGAAGGTTTATTAAGGAAACTTCATGAATACGAAACTTATTTTCCACCTTCCTAAAATATGGATTTTTATAGTCAAACCAGTCTTCCTTCTTCGCGGGGTCCGAGAAAGGTAAAATAGACAGTATTCAGTTTAGTTGGCAGTCACTCTACAACATTACGTTCTTGGCGTATTGCTCGTGCACAGTATATATTCGAACTGAAGAGCTCTGGAGGCGTTTTGACTACAAGCGTCATCGGTCCCTGGCTCTAAGCTTGGCAAAGTGGTTTACTCGTGTGACACTAAGATCAATATCGCATTTTGGTTTGCGGTCAAACTTTCACTTAAATTCGCAAGGCAGTCTTAAATAGTCTTCTCTACTGAAAAATATTAGGGTCTATCTTTCTCAGTATCCTAATTGTTTCCCTGTCTGGCCGTCACCGTTTCTGTAGGTTGATCTTAACAATAGGATTAAAATAATGCTTGTCCAACAGAAATTTACAAGTTATATTTCCTTATGGGGTCCAATCTAGTTTTTCAGTGCCTATTGCGGTCAGAAAGAGGTTCTTTTTTTTCACAGATAAATCATCAAAAAGAGACAGAAAGTGCCACTTAACGGTCATCAAGCAACATCTAATTATATAATTTGGCTAATAAAAGCCAATCTATAATATGGGAACAAACTATGTACAAAGTGTGGTACTCGTCTTCTTCAGATACCATGACGAGAACCAATATAAAATGCCAACACGCCAGGTGGTCAATCCTATATACTGAACTTTGTATTAGTTAAGAAGTATTTTTTCCGCTGGTGTATCTGATATATATCGGCGCCAACAAACAAGTTGAGCACTTCAGGAGATGTTGAATGTTTTTTTATATCCTGCTTTGGCAACACCGATACTGCACAGGTCAAAGTTAAATCACGTATGTTTCATAACGTTCTGGGGTCGCAAAGTCGAAACTCTGTTCGACGACCAACAGGCATAAGTACATTTAAGGGGTCCGTAGGGGGTCTAGGGCCGGAGCAATGGGGCCAGGGAACATCCCTAAAATCCCTGTGAGGTAACGGCTTGGGGTGTACACAACAAGAGGTAGCTTAATAAGGAACAATCCAGATGAAAAAGGCAGGTAGCTTGCCGAGCAGGGGTTTTTTAAACGAAACTCTCAGAGGTATATTGTTGCACTGATGGCGGCTGCCATCTTGAAAACAGTCAACCTTTCCCTCGAGGGCAACGTCAAAGTTAACAGGAGAGCATTATTGTCCCGAAATAGCATCATCAGCTCGCACTGCTTTGCAGAATGGGGGGTTAAGCAACATGCAACTGAAACGCTGTGAAAAGAAGAGTTAATACCTTTTGATTTTACTTATAACCCGCACTCAGCGTAGTAGAGGCTTCTCCACTCAGCATTGTTTCAAGGTCATTCGTGAAAACATGAAGGGAGTGTCAGACAGATTAACTGGTAGAAAATAGACATGCCCCCTAAACACTAAGCCGGCTTGATTTTGGCCATGTAAGATCGTGCCATTTTTTAAAAAGTGAATGAAAAGTTCGGTTTAATGTCAAACGCACCGCGTGTATGACGTGTTTTTAAATTTGAATTTTTATATCCCATACGCATGGACTCGACTCAGTCCAAGAGTAGAATCTAGTTATTCCGCCCAAGTAGAGTTCAGTGAATACTCCTCCTCGAGAGCGCTATTCAATCCGAATCATTTATAATCCAGCTGTTGAAAGGCAGTTACATATAAGTTCAGATCATGGGGCATTACTGTAAATCTGGCTGTGGTTTAAGCAAGAGCAGCCGTCTCCTGGTTAATCGGTTAAGTCTTTTCTTGGATTTTTCCCTTTTCGATCTTTTTACCTTTTCACTCAGTTCTTAGCAGTGTTCGGACACTAAGCCAGTGATCCTGATTAAAATACTATTTAATAAGGGGGCGAACAAGTTTAACAATTCCCGTTTGGAGAGCGTAAAACCTTTAAAACTGAATTCTTTAAAGAATACTCATAGTAACTTTGACTCTAAAACGAACGGAAATGACTCCGTTACCGGTATTTAAATAAAACGCGGATTTGGTGCGTTAACCCAGTTGCCTTAAAACAGGATTATCACATTCATCCCACAAATTCTTCCTCAAGGTCTGGAATTACTGGAAAAAAATAATCATGAATAATTGACAAATAAAAAATATTCATAACAAAAAAATAGTGTTCTAATATTTGTAAGGCTAAAACAACCGCTTATAATTCGACTTAACTTATAACTTTTAGACAGTTGGCATAGATTGCATGGAATTTCTGTGGCATTCGAAAGGGAGAGGGAACTTTGGTGCATGCCTTTCACGTTTCTCGCGGGCCAGCCCGAAATCCAGACTTCCCTTCAAACGCCTGCCACGCAGGCTATGCCAAGATTTGCCTAAAAATTCTTTGTTAGAGACACCTAATAACCGGCTTTGTTATTGTATTTCCTGCAAAAGCTTGAGGGCGCCATCGACTAAGAATAAATAAATACAAGCAAATCGAAGAGCCAACACAGCTTAAAGAAAAAAATATATATTTTCTTTGTGGAGTTTTACCATATGCGATTTGCATGTTTTGATGCGCATACATGCGTGGAATCGAGCGAAGTTGGCCAGAGAGATACAAAATTTGGGGGGCAAACAAAGTGTGCAGATGGCGAGTGCAAAAAAAGCAGACAAACTTCCATTATTACAGGCAGAGTAAATTTATAACTAATACGCTAGCTTTTACCTTTTCAAGCGAGCTCTCCATTTGGGGGGGATCGGATATCGTGAGACGTCACGCGAGACCCGCGGCCCGCCTCGCTCGCCGACTCGAAGGAGAGGACTTGTTCGCAGGCTAGTATACCTTAGTAGACCAAAATTTGTCACTAAAGAAGGCCCTAGACCGAGGCAACCAAAACAATATTCTATTTGCTACAGAGGTGACAACGCTACACCACATATATTCTCATTTTCCGAGGCTACAGTCAAAATACAGCAAGTGTTGATATGTCACTAGAGGCCCTTTAACCTGCGATCAGGCGTTCTTTTTTCGGGGATAGCGCAAAAGTCGGCAAAAAGGGAAGAAAGACCGGCTAATTGCAGGTTATTAACGTGTATGCGAGCAATGCGCGAGCGGCAATCGCGCTAAAAGAACCCCCTGGAATAGTTTCGGTGAAGTTTTCGCTGAAGGGGTCTGCATGCCAATGAGGGGCCTTAGTTGTCTTGGATACACTACCTTGTTTACATTTCCCTTGCTACTGCCGAGTAAGTGTCAAGCCACGCGAGACGAAACGTGACCTTGTCGAGTGAAGGTAAAAAAATTATAACAATCAGTAGAACTTTTTAAATTTTTGCTGGTGAAAGATGACTTATACCTTCGTATATCGTAACCATTATTGAACGATCTATTTCGTTTTACTTGTCAGATTGACGATAAGATTTTACTAATGGTCATAGTGAAAAGTTACTCACTCATCGGCACGTGAACGCAGACATCGCAGCCGATAGGATGAACCTTGAACTGTTGCATAAAGAAATTCTGCGTTCTGCGTACGTGTGTATCACATGGCCGAACAGGCTCAGGTAGCTGAGTGATCATAAACCACTTCTGATTTGGATCAGGGACAGTATCAACAAATATTCTCAGCGATTGTTTGGATCCAATATACCTTAACCCCGTAAGTCCTACCTCACGTGCACAGCCTTTCATATTATTGTAGTTTTTCGACAAACGTGTAAAAGTGTAAAGTGTTCACGTACATGTGTTACGATTTACTTCAGCCCTACCCCCTTTCTCGTCAAACTCGCGAGTTCCCCTTACGTTATTGGCTGATCTGATTATCAAGCAGTTGGACGAGCAGCCAGGAAGGCGCAAAAAGAGAAGGGCGAATTGGTGGGGAGCTAGTTATCTAGCTCAAATTCCGGCATTTGGAAAAAATACGCTTCTTTCAATGTTGCAGAAGCGTCTCCTGGTTTGGGGGTATGTTCATGAAGGGAAAATCGAATATATTGATATACCAAAACAACAACATCATTCGCAAAATACAAGCACGTACGGCACGTGCCTGCCTTTCAGAACGATTAGGGGCCGACCATTTAACTCTTGAGGGGGAGGGGGTGGGTGATTTTGGAAAAAAATTTCCTGCAAGCGCTTATCGGAAGAAAAAAATTGCAAGCAGCACAAATGTAATAGAAAGCTTATGGGAAAAAAAAGGAAAAAAAAATCCTGCCCACCAGATTGCTAGAAAAAAACTGCATTCTTGATGACCAGAAATCACCCACCCCCGCCCCCTTCAAGAGTTAAATGGTCGGCCCCTTAGGCTTTGTACATTATGCTTTTGTTTCCAAACTAAAAATGGGATCTTACTAAAACGGGGATCAGGAAAATGAAAAATTGCAACAAAAACTTGGACCCTAGCCCAATCAGTGACTTCCTTTTCAATTCTCTATTTTGTACCGATTTTTTGTGTTCCGGTTCTCGGCCTTTGCTCGTTCCCCCTTCCCGTTCCACCAACTAAAATGCTCGGGATAAGAATGTTCATCAAAGAGATATCGAACAAAATAAGCAAAGCTGATTTTACAGTCGGGAATATATACTCATTGGTAACCAATATTTTGGCAGGAACTGGCTTCCTTTGTCAGGGTCATACAATGATGAGGTGAAGCTAAGACGGAGGTTATTAATTCCTGAAACGTTCAACTGAAACGTCTCAAGAGGGTTTAGGGCTAACAAAAATTTATAAGTAGTTCGACCATGATGTTTACTAGTGAATAGTACCTGAATACAGCAAAAAATGATCCTCCACATGGCCGTGTTAAGGTTATATTTGAATTTGTTTGAATTTCGAGGTTTCTTAAAAATCTTTCAAATTTTATTTTCACTGGGGAAAAAAAATTCCGAGAAAATGCCACTAAAAATGCTTGAATAATGCTTACATTCTTTAACCTAACTAAAATGCTAGAAAAAATGCGAGCGTAAAATGTACTCAAGACTGATAATTGCTAGACGATAAAAATCCGAGAACGCGAATGGCGTTGGTGAAATCCTTGGTGAAGATTGGGAAAGAAAGAGAAGCTGCGAAGGCCTGGGGAAATCCGCCAGAGGCTCGGTTACCAGGACAAGGGAGAGAACCAAACTGAAAGTTCTATGGCAGCAAGGAACTCCTATTTTATATGAATAATAAAGTACTTTTGATTTTGATTGCCACATTTCAGGTAATTGTAAAACAGTCTTGTATGCCTTTCTTGATGTAATAGTTTTCATATCAACTTGTTGTATTTAGACTTCCTGTATCAGAGGCTTGGAGGACTCGTGTGATGCAAACAGTGAAAAAGACTGTCAAATGTCAGAATCAACGGAGCCCTCGGAAAACAACGACGGCATGGGGCAATGTGAGTTCTTGACGATCTGTACGCATTAAGGTTCATTGTTTTGCATGTTCGTTGCCAGAGAAAATCCTCTTATTCCTCTTTACTATAGATTATAAAACAGTGAAGCTTAATCTTTATCAAACTGCAGCATGCATCTCGATAAAATGAGATACTGTACCTCTCATTGTACATTGCAAAATAACTGTTGCCTCATGGATTGTTTTAATGAAGTTGACCTGAGATCAGTACTGCATGAGTACTGGTGTTTACACAAACAACCTCCCCAGCGTGCAAAGAAATTAAATTAGTGTCCGATATAGCCCGGGGCTAGTGGATTTTGTTATCGGGCTAGTGAATTCTGCTTTTAACTTGCCTGGGGGGCAAGTGATGTCTTTTGAAGAATTGGAATAACAGAAGAGCTGTGAAATCCGTTTTGCTAGTCAAAAAGTTTTTGGGGCTAGTTGAAACGACGTCTGATCTAGTAAATGCTAGCTTCAGCTCGCCTGAATGGCAAGCTGTAAAAATGATTTTCTTTGCACCCTGCTCCCCTCAGAGATCAAAACCTACCTGTCTGAAGAGGGCTAGCTCCAAGGCCCAATAATCAGTCCTCCACTTTCGGATGTACACCAATGGCACAAAAAAACAAGTTTTTGGTGGTGTACCATCTTTCTGCTGAAAGAAGTCAAACGCTGTAACTCCCACTTCCTATATAATCCAGGTAAAACCTGTACACCAATGTCTTTGGATTGCCAGGAAGAGTCCAATTCTCACCTCTTGCTCTAATCTGGAAAGTGAGAGTCAAGAATTAAGTGGCATGGTGTATTTTGTATGAGTAGTGCAAGTTGTAAAACAATGTTAAAACATTTGTGTATTTATTCATTCAAGTAGTGAAAGTGTGATTCATGTGGGTGAAATAAGACGAGGCAACACTCAAAAAAACTTAAATTTCAGCACCTCCTTTGAGCAAGCATCTCTTATGTTTTGCTTGCCTGGTGCAACTACTTGCTTGTTTTAGCTAATAATTTAGTTGGAGGATGACCTGGCAACTGAGCTAACAGTTACTTGCCTTGCAGGAAAAACTACTTGCCCATTCCCAACAAAGTTGCTTGCCATTAGGGATAGCAAGCATTTGAGTGATTGTAGTTAGTTAGAGGACCTAATCAAATGCTGTACAAGTACAACTCCTATAAATTGTGCATCTAGAAGAAAATATTGTGACCATCACCAGTTTTTCCCTGTGTAGGTGCAGGAGAAGGGGGGAGTAAAAGGGTGTGCCATAATTCAAAATGAATTGTTTAATTAGAGGGTGTTTACATGACACCGGAGGGACTTTCGCCCTGGAGCGAGTTCACTCCCTCTCATGGCTCTATATTTGTTTACACGATACCACCACAAAATGTTTTGCCAGCGCGAATCACTCCGGCATGAGTTCCGGTTCTTGTACTGGGGCGAGAATTTCAGTCCGGTACAAAATCTCGCAACGGTATCATGTAAACGCGAAACGACCACCCATTTTGGAGAGAAATCGGTCTGCCGGCAGACTGGAACAGGTAGCACATGCGTAATGTTTGCGATTTTGAACCGCATGGCATTTTATCAGCATGAAATGTACCGTACCTTTAAATAACAAGATATGAAATGACCCAGTCATCATGTAAATGCGATACAAAATCAAAAAGTCATCCCAGTATGAAACTTGTGCGGGCACGAGTTTTCTCATGTAAACACCCTCTTAGCTAACAAAACACTAGATAAATGATCCAAACAATGTCCCAAAAACAAGAGCCTGCACCACAGATGGAACTAAACTTCTGGTTAAGCCTGTTTAGTATATATTCCAGAACAGTCACTGGTAGTGTTTTTTAGGCACTTTGATTGGCTACTTAAACTCTGGATATCCAGTTTTATTCATTGATTCACCTCCAGCTTGCGTAAGTTACGAGCAAAATGGCTTCCCATTTAGCTGCTGTAACGAACTAAGAAATTTCACAAATAATCAAACAAGTTGTTCCCAAAATACATGAAGAAGGTGACGGAATTTGGTTTGAAGTTTTAACATGTAAAGCTTTGTCCGTTTGACTTGAATTTATCGATGAAACTGGTGAAAAAGTTTTTCATTTACAAATGCAAATAAGGTCTTGCTTTACTTTATTTAACTGACATGTTTATAAATAAGCTTAAAACTAGATTTAATAGTCTTTTTTTTACAGAATGGTTTCAAATGCAAAAAGAAGTCATAACTCGTTTTGAAGAAATTTTCCCGCAAGGACTAAACAAATGCCTTCAAAAGTTTTATTTGTTGGCAAGAAAACGTGACGGCCCCTCAGTCATTGCATGCCAAATTTTTCAAAGTGTTGGCAACAGTAAATGAGTTAAAAATCATCATTTTTGTGCTCAATTATATCACTGTTTTAGCAGATACTAAAACACTTCTCCGAAATAGAGGTGGCTTGTGGTGGATCAATATTTACTTCACCGCTTTGTAGCTTGGTAAATTTTCACCAATAGCCAGCTCCTTTTTGGTGAATGATAGGCTGATTTAGCAATAGAATGGGAACGTCATTTGACGACGGGAAAATGCGCAGTTAGGGCTCAACTCGACTTCGGGTGCCCAATTAGCCGCTGTGCCATTTGTCAAGCCAGTCGTTTGATTTGTGCGCGCTGTCATCAACTGACGTTCCCGTTCTGTTGCTAAATCAGCCTAATAATCTATGATGGAGACTTGGCAATATCCTTGTTCTGGGACCCCACCTGCGTACAAGGTTTTTATTACACACCATGATTGGCCCGTTTAAAAAGCCATTGTTAATTTACCAACAGGTTGAATGGAAATTCGGAGTGCATTTCCCGTAATTCATTGAATCTATTGTGGGCCTCCCCTAGAACAAAGATGTTGGCACTGCTTTGCAGACATTACTAACTAGGCTTAGATTATATATGCAACACAGGCTAAAAAAAAAAAACGTGAGCGTTTTCAAAGTCCAAAGAAAATATAGGTTTCTAAGAGCCCTGTTGGTCCGGGAGTAAAACATTTCCTTTTTCAAAGATCTACTCACAACCATCCACCTTCTGCTGGTAACTTATCATTACTAACTCACCATCTTTTCAAACCCTCAGAAGTTTGTTTGTTGTTGTTACAAATAATGATGGACATCCATCACCACTCTTCAGTGAAATTTTAACAATATTATGTGGAGTTTATGTTTTGTAATGTTTCCCTCTATAGATTTTTGTTCAAGCAAGAAGGAAACTTCTTTTCCAGAAACATTAGAGGGGTTTGGGTATGGGTTCAACGCAGGTTGGTAAATATCGTGTTAGTTGCAGGGCTGTTACTAAAGGCTGGGAACCAGGAATTCCCCCTAGCCCCGGCTACTATGAGCTTGATTCCCTGACACTTTCTAGAAAACAAAAGGATAATAAAACAAGAAGAACTTCCTAGCTGTTCAATTCCCTGTCCACTAATTGCATAAATTTACACCCAGCAACTTGAAATCTTAATGTCACTCCAGAGTTTCTGTTTCCAGACGTTAATTGTCTGCGACCACAGGGTCAAACTCCCTGTGCCATTCACAATTCCATCTTTGTTCGTGTTTGCAGATGAAAATAGCAAGGTTGTTAGTAAATAGTTATTTTATGAGTCAAGGAACAAGTGCAAATTTTGTACTTTTTTGCAGAAGGACAGATGCGGAACTTAGAAACTGGTGAGCCATTCAAATTTGACGTCAAAGAAGATGACAGAGCCTATAATCAAAAACATTATGAAGCACTTGGAGAGGTAGGATGTTGGACAGTTCAGATGAATTAAACATCATTCATTGGCATCTTCACTGCCAATTTTTTCTTTAGAGGCTTTATAGGACAAGGTTAAGTCATAGTTCTGGGGTTTTGATAAATTTTAAGTTCATGTAGGTTAGGTAGGTAGGAGCAAAGGAGGTAGCATTTAAGACCATTCTTGACAAGTAAGCATATAGTTGAAGATAAGGGCAAAGTAGCAGATGTTTCACAACAGGAACAGACTCCAGTCTCAGAATTCCGGAAACATCATTTCCAAGACTGTCCAGCACTTTTGCGAACAAATCTACAAGTACTGTCAAACCCCTATAGCTTAGGACCCAATGAAACATTTCGGTCAAACGTTTTTACCTGTTATATAAGAAGGCCTTAGTCATCCTAGAAATTTGCCATACATTGAAATGTTGTAGGTACTTCAAACCCTCCACCTCCCCCCCTCTTATGTACATATTTATTGTGTGTATAATGTATTTCAACTGACTGACTGATCACTTTGTTGATGTGACGTTCCTGTGTTCTATAGGTGATTACTGAGTATGTTTACAAATTACTGGAGGAAGAGGTCAAGCTAAAGAAGCATTTTGTTCCTGTAAGTGAAATGAAAGTGCCTTATAAGATAATACATGCAGCTGTGTTGGATCTGTGGCTCAGTAGGCTCTTATAATAGCCAATCATGGGGGCATGAAGTACACATCACAGAAAGCTGAACCAAGGTCAAAACAAAAACGATGGGGGAGGGGGTGAGGGGAAAGGGCAGTGAGAAGAATCGCTTGCATTCAACCCCTTGAGAGTTTTGAAACTACGTCCAAAAAGTAGACATAGCAAACGGCATTCCTGATTGGCCAACAGAATGTCAACTCAGATTCCCAGTGGATACAAACTTTAAAGGAGTACCGTCGGTTGAGATGCAGCTTGCTGCATCTAACCTGATTTGTGTTCGCTTAAAGAAAAATATTCATCATCAGTATTTGACACATCAAGTAGAAGTTCTGCAGCCATCAGTCGCTTTGTGTGAACTTTTGCTTTTGTCCTACGATGTGTCAGTAGTCAACATTTGTTACTTCAAATGAGACTTTTGTTTAAAAATATTCAATATTTTTATCTGATAGTGAAACAGTTCCACAATCCAATTCTGACAAACAAAATTATTTCCTAACTGCTGATAAAACATTAAACGGTCATAAACAATAAAGCTTTGGCTTGACAGTATGTTGGCTGGCGTTAGACCTCAAAACATGTCACATGCTGCGTAAGGCAAACTCCTCCTTTCACAAGACTGGATTAGGCATTTCAAAAATCTCAAGGGGTTGATTGCAGTGCCTTCTCCCCTCACCCCCTCCCCCATTGTTTTCTTTTTCACCCTAGTTCAGCTTTCACATGGCTGAATCTCTTACCTTACGAACCAGAAAAGAAAAAACATACCAAAAAATCTGCCAGCTACACAGGCTAACCGAGGTGTATAAAGATAAAAAAGCTGATGTACAAGCATTGGACCTTCAGGTTCCCTGTGACAAAGGGTCAGTCATGGTTGTTTGGTTCAATTTGTTAATAATGCCAATTATATTGCCTGTCTTTATTCCCTATGGAACTTAAGAAATTTTTTGTAAATTGCAAAATCACAGCTTTCCTGTCAAACATATAATTATCTCTCCCAATCAGTATATCAAATGTTACTGAAACCACAAAAATGAACCTTAAAAACTATTATGCTGACAAATTTTGTCAAAATCACAACTGCAACCCATTTCAATCTTCTTCAAGTTTATCCATCCTCTTCTATTTGCTTTGTTATTTGTACCTTCTTTTCACTTTCTGAGCAGACGTAATTGTTATTTTTCAGTCAGTTTTTGCGGCATTTCCAACTATTAGAATTTAGAAACGTTTTGTGATACAGCTCCTTTAAAATGCCTGCCCCTCTTCCCAACCTTTTTTATGGTAGAGGAAAAAAAATTTTGACTTCAGCAACTCACTAGTGGATTTTCTCTTTTATTTCCCCACTGACCCAGCACCCCAGCCAGTTTCTTTCTAAACTAAACCCTGCAATCATTCATTCATTCATATAAGCATAGCTTTCGGTTATTTTCTCGTATTACTGCTTTTTCGATTTTTTTTTCACCAAGCATATATATATTCATAGAGAGATTTATGGCGTATCGCATTTTGCATCTGGCTAAGACCACACGGGGTTCACGTGATGTATGCGCACTTTGCGCGCAACAAGATTATAAACTCACTAAATTGCGAGAATTACTGCTTTTTTGATTTTTTTTATTTTTCTTTTGTATAGCTTGCACTGTGTCTTAACCCACATAAACCTGTCTGCATACTGAATTTTGCACTTTTTGTGTGCGCATGTTGCATTGTACCTCCATGTATTGCCCCTATAGTTATCCTTTTGAAATCATTAAGTCTGGCTTAATTGTTCTGAACAATTTAGTTCATTTTCTTCAGGTTGATGCAGAGGAAAATGAAGACAAGAGTTTCTTCTTCATGAGTGATGATGCTTTGACATGTGACAAGTTGATGATTCTTATTCACGGGAGTGGCGTTGTGAGGGCAGGACAGTGGGCCAGAAGGTCATTAAGATATTATGCATGCTTATTTCCTTCAGCTGCTTTGTACAGTGGAACCTCGATGAAACGAAGGGCCAAGGGACTTGCAAAATTTGTTTGCTACACAGAGGTTTCGTTGTAACAAGGTTCTTTTATATATAATTATTTTACTATTATTGGGGTAAGAAAATCGTAGTTTATACTGAGGACTTCATTAGGTAGACGTTTGTTATGTTGAGGTTCCATTGTAGTGCTGCCCTTACAGCCAAACCTGCATTAGGCGGTCACCCTAAGCTCTCTCTCCTACTGTCTACTTAATACAGGTTGACAGTTTAATTCAGAGTTGGCAAACCTATGAGTTGATCAAAAAAATAATAAAGCATAACACAACTCATTGGCCTCTTGGTGATTCTACCCCTTCTTGTGCCCAAAGAAAGGGACGTGAAGACAGTAGAAAATGACTTCTTATGTAGTTGAGACCACGGAAAAAGTACTAACTGCGACCACTTAATAGAGGTGACGGCTAAACACAGGTCAGGTTTACTGTAAGTAAGGGACCAAAATGATTTTTAGGACTTAAGAAAGTGACTGCTTAAAAGATGGTGACTACTTAACACAGGTCCACTTAATACAGGTTGACTGCGCTACCTTTCCTACTGAAGGTCAGGCTTAAAACAGTAATATGTTGTAGACGTCTAATTTAATTACTAATCTTATACCCTATTTCCTCAAATAATAGCCATCCCTCGATTAATTGCTGCCTCCTTTGAATAATCGCCCCCCCCTTGGACGGAAATATTTAAAATAATCGCCTCCCCCCGCCCTTCTCGCCATCTTCTCTTCCTTTTATCCCCTCCCTGTCGAGTGTAAGTGCAACGTGATCCAGTAAAACTGATTAGTGAAGATTTATTAACTAGCGTGTTCGATACGTTTTCTGTGTAGGTTAATTATCAACGACGATTTGAGTTGTGGAACAATGTTGCCATACATCAAGAGAGCTAGTGAGGTCAGGCTACATCTTTGAACTATTAATGCTTTATAAATGTACTGTTTGAACTGAGAAACAACCAAGCTTTCTACTGTGGTCAAGTAAAAGGACATGGTTTAGTAGTCTTCATCATCTTTATCACTCTTTAATGAAGGACATATTTTAGCCGAGAGCTAAATTGTTTGATCTGGATAATATTTCTAAAATATTTGATGTTACTGTATTGTTCTTGTTGAGGGAATTAAGTTATTATTAGAGACCTTAAGATTGAAGTTTTCGGCTTTTTTCCGTGAAGCGCGAACATCAAGAAGTCATGTGACCAGAGCCTTGCCGTCAGGTTTGCGGTTTGAGGTTCATGTTGGTACAGCTAGACCATTAGGTAAGTGATTTACCGCAAGGTAATCTCACATTTGAGATGAAATATGACCTTTTACAACTCTTCTGCTTATTGATTATCAAATTTTATTTTTAAAAAAACGTAATTTTGAAGACAATTTCTCAGCTAAAATAGAACAAAGTGGATGAATGAAAACAAACATGGCAGCCATAAGCAGCCACCCGCAAATGTTTAGTCTCAAATATGGGCAGACGGGTAACGTGAAACTGTTAACCACAAACCACAGTTTGTCACTTGCAGCAAAATGACCCAACCTTGATCTTAAGGTCTCTATTAGTTCTGGGATGGACAGGCAAAATTATTGATATCTCCCACAATCCTTTCTGCCTATTAAAATGCAAATGTCATAGGCAGTCAACTGCAGTTAATCAGTTAGTCTCCCTTGGGAACTACTGTTGAAGTAGGTTTGAACAACCTTGGTGGCGACAAGGAGAAGTACCTATCACAAGGCAATACAACTTCAAAGGGTTTTTTGTCTCTCCTTGTGCCCCCAAGAAATTACAGACCATGTTAAAAAAATTATTTAGAAAATAATAATATGCATTGAAATAACAGAGATAAATACAATAAAAAATAAAGTTGATATGGACCTGCAAGAAAGGTTACTACAACTGGTTTAATCTAATCTAATCATTATTGTATTAATAGATCTTTTTTCTTAAACCTTACCTCTAAGGAGGGATATGGAGTGCTTATCACAAATGGAAATGAAAATTATGTGCGGAAAAACAAGAAAAGAATTACCATTAGAGTAAGTGCAAAGGAATGAATAAATAAATTATTCTCATCATCATCATCATCATCATTGTTATTGTTATTATTATTAATTATCATTATCATAATAAATTATGTTAGTAGTGTTATGTTATATGTAACATGAAAACAGTAGATACCCCTGCAGTTTTGCCATTAAAATTTAATAATAATTAAACCTTGCTGCTGCTTTCAATTTTATTATTGATTACTCTTAAAACATGTTGAACAGATCAAGTTCTATTGAGTGTGTTTTTTACAGTTGATATTGTGTAAAAGTAAAAGTAACCTCATGAGTGCTTCTAAAAGATAAATTTACCATACAGCGTGCAAAGAAAGTACTGTCCGATAGCCCAGGGCTAGAGGATTTTGCTATCGGGCTAGTGAATTCTGTTTCTAACTTGCCCGACCGGCAAGTGATGTTTTATGAGGAATTTGAATAACAGAAGAACAAAAAGTTTTTGGGGCTAGTTGAAATGACGACTGGGCTAGTAAATGCTAGCTTCAGCTTGCCCGAATGGCAAGCTGTAAAAATAATTTTCTTTGCACCCTGCATAAAAAGAAGTGCAGTGACTCTTTAAATACAGCCTTTGAGATCCTGCATTTGACTGCATTTTCATTGTTATTCCATTTGTTTTTTAAGGGCAGTGAATCTCCTGAAAGGCACTTTGTCTATGTTTGTGAGCACTTTATTTCAAAAGCAGCAGCCCAAAAAATAGTTGTGGTGGCTCATAGTTATGGAGGAGTTGTCATCGTTGAAGGAGTAAGTGAATGGTAACTTTAAATTTTCTTTCATATGGTAACAGTGTTAAAGTTTCATCTTATCAGCTTGCCAAAGTTTATTTGATGTGGGAGCAATGACTGAAAATAAGGGTCTGTTATTTTTTCCGTGACAGTATTTATAGCACTAACGCTGGTGGGGCCACCCAAGTTCCTGAAACAAATAATTTTACCCATTCGCCCCTGAACCACCCGTAACCGTCCGTGCGGATCCACGTCCTTTCTAACGGTCTTTTAACGGTCAAGGACAACTTTGTCTGCTAACTTGTGCAGAGTGAAGAGATCTTTCAAACCATACCAGAATGAGCACAATTCAGTCAAGGACACTGGAGAAAAAGGCAAAAAACCATGTAACATATATTTGGCCTGAAAATCTCCATGAAAATCTTGTTCCATTGCCCACCTACCTTTCCTTTCATCTAATCCTAAGATCCTAAAAGCTTTCCTAAAAACTCTTTCCACCAAAATGAAGCCTACTAAATGCCCAGCGAGAGAAAAAAAAATGAGGCAAGAAAAGTGAAAAAAGAGGGGAGGAGAGAAAGTAAAAGTCAAGACTGCTGTGTCACTTTTAAACCCAAAAACTATCTTGAAATTTTGCTTTCTGCGCATGCCCGAACTTCGCAAGCTGAGATTTTGCATCTGGATCAGAGGAAGCCGTGAAGTGTACGAGCTGTTAACGGGTTTGTGGTAAATTTTAGCTCTTTATAGCTTGACAGTGACCAGAAAACCACTCAACTAGCTTCAAAATGCGTTTTTCGGCAAAATCTCCAGGCCATGCAGTGAGGCACAAAAGAAATATTGGACACACCAGTGGGTTGTTCACCAAAGAGCACACAATTTCACTTTTCAGCATTTCGAACATTGTTTCTGTCTGAAGCACTTTACTAGACCATGAGTGAAAAACAAAAGGAATTTTATGATTCACTGGTTAATTTGAAAGACAAATACTCAATCTTGAACTGGTGGTGATTGTTTATCTTTCCTCCTGAACAAGGTCACAAAATAAGCAGTCTTAATCTTGTCTTGAAATGAACAGGGTAGGAATAAATGGACAGTTTATATACAGCGTCTTAAAGATGGTGAAGATTTAAAGGCGTCTAGAGCACCTCCCTACCCAGGTGTCCATTAGACCCCCCCCCTTCCTGCGGTTCTTTATTTCAAAGGTGTTATACATGATTGAGCGGCACTGCATTTGAAGCATGCATCAATTAGGAATTTTTTTTCTACTCCAGCTGCAACAATGTAAAGGACTACAAGAAAAGGTGAAAGCTGTTGCATTTACAGATTCTGTGCACAGTCTGGTACACCAGAAGGCAAACAAGAGGTTTATCAAGTGGATGAGAAAGGTCAGAACAACAGATAAAGTGCATTTTATTTGTGACTCTTTAGTTCAAAATTCCTTTTTGTGAATGTAAAAGGTAGTATTAAACTTGTGAAAGTATTACATAGGTTTCTTTTGAATGATTATACCATTGGCCATGTTAAGGATAATGATTATTTTATTGAGACTTTAGCTTATGTTGTAAAAAGTTTTAGGTAAGGAATAGTTAACATCACCATGATCTTTATATAAGGTTTGGTTATTTTCCCAGGTTTTGTCATGTGTAGTTGGATGTTACGAAACAGTTAGGAGAGCATGATTGAAGTTTCTTAGGGGTTTGCTTTACCACTAAGAGATATAGAGGATATTTCATGGCCACACAGAGATACGAAATTTCTCTTCAAATGTTGAACAATAGGCAAACGGGGGAAATATTTGTCAACACAAGATGAGAATTTTCGTATCTCCAAGCGGCCATATGTAATGTTATATTTATTATTATAAACACCAATAAAATCGTAGTTGCTAAAACAAGGAATGACCTACAATGACCTACAATGATCTACAATGACCTACAATGACCTACAATGATCTACAATGACCGAACGTGTAGCCCCTCTAATTAGCTAAAATGAAGATTTTAGAAAAAGACAAAAAAAAAGACTAGGGGACGTGTGTCGTAGTTACTAAAACAAGGAATAACCTACAATGACCTACAATGATCTACGATGAGCTACTACGTGCTATAATGAGCTACTATGAGTTAAAATAAGCCCTACAATGAGCTACAAAATGACAGACAATGATGTTTATCGTGTGTCACGCTTGGATGTGACACTAGGCTCATAGTATTAAATTGCCAAGCACATTTTGGAAAGGAAAAACAAAAATTGTGCCTGATCTCAGGTAACTTGAGAAACTTGAAAATAGATTATTGCAATCGCGTTTTTACTGGTATAGCACTATCATACCCTGCATTGACGGAAGTCATGCAGGCACTCCCTTTTTTGGCCTAGATGGGTATGGGCCGCTGAGCAGGATATGGATTTTACTATTTAGCGTTACAAACAGAGCATCCTGTTGGACCGAAAGCCATTTAAAGGGTCTTATGATGTCTTATACAGGCCAGGGTACTTAAAAAAAAATGAACAATTTTTCTTTTGAACAGGGTCAGAATTTGAAGGCCTCCTTTGTTCATCTCTACCCTTACGTCCCTTGAAGATCCCCCCGGATCGGCTGTTGGGGTGACTGTGTTTGTTCAATTTGTTTAAAAAAAAGACAAGACAAAATAAAACTAATGCGAAAGGTTGCAAGGGATGGTTTGGACAAAAGTCACAGTATCATCATACATATATTATTACACTGTAAATTTATCTCCAAGCGTAATAATTAGAGATGCTGTCATCGTTAAATGGGCTGTCATGTAGTAGACTAAACGCGTTACGTTTACGCACACGTGTCCCCTGATCTTTTTTTTTTGTCTTTTTCTAAAATCTTCATTTTAGCTCATTACAGGGATTACACGTTCGGTCATAGGAGCTCATTGTAGGTCATTGTAGGTCATTGTAGGTCATTGTAGGTCATTCCTTGTTTTAGTAACTACGCCAATAAAATACCAAAATTTGATTTTTATGAGTTGAACAAGCGGAGGATATTCAATTGTTAGCTTACCACTTTCTATTTGTTTTTTTTTTTCCTCTTGTTTAAATAAGATTGACAGGAAGCTTCACATTTTACTCATTCAACTCAAAATAGAAGGTTTTGAATTCTTTTTTTGGCTTGACCTAGTCACTCAAAATGTCATTGGAACAGTGAATTGCACCATGTGATTCATCCTAGATATTATTGTCCTATTTACTATGCAGAATTCTTGTAACTGGGTGTCTTCTGATCGTCCTTTGGACACTCCTATTCAGTCCTTGTATAAAGGAGCAGATTGTGACTTGGTGTCAGCTGGTAAGATTTGATCAGAATGCTTTTGCAAAAACCATTTCGTAAATAAATAAATTAACTGTTTATTAATAAACAAATAAGTCGACTAATCAATGAACAAACAAGTGAAAACTAATGCGTTTATTTAGTGAGGGTACCACTTTAAACTTGAACACTGACAAACTTGTGGGCCTCCCCTAGATTACAATAGAGACTAGATTTATATTTATATTTGCAATAGTGTCCTCCATACTCCTACATGAGTTATTATGATAAAACTTTGTATGCCAAAAGAAATCAAATGGAGTAGAAAAAGCCAGTACAAGAAGGAGTAGGAGTAAAAAAAGCCAGAAAAAAAAAAAGAAAGAAAGAAAATAATATTACATTTTAAAAAATGAATGAGTGAACAAAAGGATTAGTGATTACATGTCAAATTAATATTTTACCCGTATCCTTTAGGAGATAGTAAAATATTATAATAGTTAATAATAGCCTGTTCATACTATGCTTAATGTGCTTGTTTGTAAGTTAAGGTACAGGCTTGGACTTGAATGATCATGTTGTGATTTCTATCTCACTTTCTTTCCAGGCACAATAAGGCATGAGCTCACTTCACATTTTGCTTTTGATTCGGTCTTCAAGTTCTTTGATGAGAAGATAAAAATAGCCCCCAATACTGGGTCAGATGTCTCAGAAGATAGTGAACAAGAGGCAGATGCCAACTCACAGAATAATATGGACTCTGCTGAAGATCCAGAAAAATTTTCTACTAACAACATGGATGCTTCTGTAGATCATCCTGATGAAACACCATCAGAAAACAAAAAGGATTCCGGTGCAGATGACGTAGATGCCAACTCCCAGACCAAGGAGGACAACCCTCAGAGTCAACCTGATGACTCTCAAATGGAGACTGACATCTAAGCAATAAGCAATAGTTGATTTCTCACGAAAATAGTATATAAAGTTAACTTATTATTTCACAGACGGGGCAGCTCTCCTGGCCAGATTGTTTCAGGGAACATCAGGGCACGGTACAAACTGTAAACTGAGAAACAGAAAGGTGAAGGATCGGGATCCATTTGGGTGGGGGCATGTTGGAGGCTGCTGGGCATTTGAAATCTGTGATCAAGGGCCTACTAACAGCTTTTCCCCCAGAAGTTTAAGATAAAAATCTTTCCCAGTACAAACCCCTTTTCATCTGTCACGACCCTCCAGGCATTTAGCAATAAATTTATTAGAGGCAACTAAGGTAAAGATCGAAGTAACAAATAATATGCACTCAACATGCATGTAAAAAGGTATTGCTGAATGTTATACATGTACACTACTATTTCTCTATTTCTAATAATCTCTAGTTGAAGAGTTCACACGAAAACGTCCACTATTGTGGGCTTATGTCCCCTCCTATTTGGAGGGGACATTTTTTTTTATTGGGGGCATGAGATTTTGTTTCAAAACATGTAAGACCAAAAAACATAGTAAATCAGTTAGTCATTAAGTGACGTTTTACCTAAGAGTAGATTTTCTTAAAAGCTGTATTAACAGACTGTTTTTCAAAGGATGATTATATACTGGTACTTAGTTCAAAATAGAAAAATGCCAATAAAATTATTTATTATTATGTCAGATTATGACCTCATCCTCCACATCTGTTGTGTTAGCCACTAAAATTTTAATATTACAAAGCCTTCACACATGTTAAGTGATAGTGGGTCGATAGTGGGTTTTATGACTTCTTCTTCAGAAAAAAAAGGAAGCAAAATAAAACTATTGAGACTGTTTTTGCTCAAGTCTTAATAGTTGTATTTTCTCTCAGTTTTCAAAAATTGAATGATGCAATCTGTAACATAACTAAAAATAGAAATCATTTTATTGAACAACAACATGCCTAGAAAAAGAAAATTTTCTCAACAAAAGTGGAAAGAATAACCACCATGTAGTGGAAAATCAGAACCAGTTGTATGGTGAAACTGTAGTAACAAAAACATGTAACATACTAGCTTACCATCTAAAAAATATAAATAATTTGCAGTCAATTTCTTTTTAAAATTATTGGTACCATTAAAAGGTTCTAACCTACCCTCTGTCAGAATTCATCAAATTTGTACCATATTTTTGGACACTTGAGCAGTAGTGTTAATTGTAACTCTGCAGGGAAAATCTGTTTTATATACGAGACAATCAGTATTATTCTTTATTATGAAGCAGAACCAATACATTTCATGCGTTTCTTAATTCCTGTTTGTAATCTTTAGAATAAACTCATCCATCAGTTACTGGTTTCATATAATATACTATAAGTAATATTATCCACCCCAGTGCAGATAGATGTTAATAATAACATAATTACAAATAAATATTTAACTCCGTTAAGATACATGCTATGTGATCAAAGGGGCAGATACATTGATAATAGATAAAACACAACTCAAAAAGGAAAATGAGCATTGGTATGTAAAATTGGCACTGTCCATAAATATTCTCAATTAACATTCTTTGAAACTGCTTGCATCTCCCAGGGGCAACACTGTAGGCACGAGTTATATTTCAAAATGACTCTTTCCTCAGCCTCCAAAAGCAAAAATAACATTGTTACAGCTGTCTTTGGTTGTCTGTAAGAAAGATTACTATGCAACCTCCTTGGTCCTCATATTTTGCAGACGTACTAGCAACAGAACAACTGGTACTGCCTGCCACACTGTTTCATGACATGAGAACATACCTCACGGGCAACAAGACGCCTGCAAAATTAAAATTGAGTCAACTCCACAGGTATGCCAGCAGTAAAGGCTGGAATGTTGCCCGTGATGTTTGTTATCACATCAGCAAAGTATCCCAGGCGGTATTGGTGGCTATGTTGTCACCCTTGGTTTCCTAGTCTGCATTGCAGGTGCACAAAAGAACAGGGAGAGGGTTGGGGCAGAGAGTGCAAAGAAAGGTCCCTCTTTTCTCTCCCCAATCCCTCTCCCTTTTTCCCCTTCCTTCTCCTCCCCTTACGACACCTGCCACGCAGGCTACTGTTTTCCCTGCCAAATGACATCTGAGCAACAAGTTCAGAAATTCCAGATGTCACTTCTCAAATAGAGTAGTTCTTCTGATTGGTTGAAAAGTTTGCTGCTTTTTCAGGCTATGTTGCTGGTAGGTCGGCACCCTCTATGAGAAGCAGGCTCTAGTGTTGTTGCATTAAATGATTTTAATCCAAACGTTGCATGTTTATGTAACAAAATTTCTACGTTGTGTGCAATCTTGCACTGTGTCTAGACTGTAGACGTGAACCACTGGTTGACTGAGTACGACGAAAGTGACAATTAGATGAATCTCTCATGATTTTGGTCCCACTTGTGTTTACACTATTAATTAATAAATTAGCAAAAATTCAACATTCTTGAAGTTTGATTTTTTGGCTACTTGGGAGTGAAACAGTTGTCCCCTTGAATAGATTTAAGCTAACAATAAAAAATATTTATATATAATCAACATTTATAAATACTATATGTATAAAAATATATTTATAGAGACAGTAAGATATTTTAATATCTTACCATCTTTTCTAAAAGCCCTATCATCAAAGGGCTTATCCTATATTTATGTAATAATTATTTCATTAAAGGCTGATAAAAGTTCAAAATTTGTTTGTTTGGAACAAATAATAGAGTACTGAAGTGATGACAGCATAAAAACGAAATTTCCGAAATTATGGGATTTGTCAGGATATTCTGAAAGAACAATGTCCAAGAGGCCTACTTACCAAAAATGAGTATTTCGGGGCAAATTGTCTCTGAGATGTTAGCCGGTTAAACTCAGAAAACTCCATACAAACCCTTCTAATTTTTTGGGGCGTTGACCCCAAAAAAATTTAGAAGGGTTTGTATGGAGTTTTCTAAGCATAACTGGGCTACGATCTCAGGGACAATTTGCCCAGAAATGCTCATTTTTGGCAAATAGGCCTCTTGGGCATTGTTCTTTCAGAATATCCTGACAAATCCCATAATTTCAGAAATTTCATTTTTATGACGTCACACTTTAGTACTCTATTCTCATCAGAAGCTATCAGATGAAATGTCTCGGTGTTGCAGTAGAATTAATAGCCGTTTCTACATGAGGCTTTATGTTGGGGCTGTTATGCTCTAAAACATTTGCGTAATACAAGAGAGCAGTTACCACTGAATAACCCATGACCGTGAATAGTACTTTTAGAAGTCGATTGCCGTGAGCTTCAAGCTCTCGCTGAAAGATTTCAAAGAAAGTCACGAACAGAAATGTTCCATTAGCGATCCCTTGCAAAATCCCCGACGATAAACTGCTTGAAAGCTGTGAAGAGTTATTTAGTACAGCCATACCAATGCCCACACCTAAAGGTCCCATGATCGAAAAGAGAATTGCAGATTTGACGACGGTTTTCGACGGCATCACGTGTTGAACTAGACTCACCCCTAGCGAAAATGCAATAATCGATTTGTGGATCACGATAGCTCCAGCTATCTGCGCTAAACGCTCCACGTCGGTGATCAATCCAAGGGCAATACCTTCGAAAACTGAGTGCAGTGATAAAGCGACAATCAGAATGTAAACTCTCAAACTTGATTCTCCAGCACGACGACCTTGGACGGGGGCGCTGCTCGCCGCTGAAGAGCTCGACCTGATCAGAAACCCTTCTTGCTCTTTAAAATCCTTGCCCAAAAGTGGTTGCCGTTGATCATGGCTCCCATGCGAATCGAGTAGCAGTGGAGAATCGTGTAATGTGTGAACGATCTGCTCAACGGTCAAGACTAGGAAGAATCCAATGCAGGTAGTAAACTCTGCTACAGGAAAAACCGTGTGCACATCGGCCAAGTTGAAAGCTTGCTGGTATTTCTCTCTGATCATCGGTAGCAAGTCTAACATGCACGTTGCAAAGAAAACTCCTCCAGCGAAACAGTTACAGCAGCTCAAGAATCGTTGCCTTGCCCCCGTATGCGATCCCCGAAATTTCAACGGAAGAAGACCGGCCAAGAGAGTCAGTGAAAACAAAATGGCGATCGCGATTGCTTTGATGATTTGGTGCTCCATACTGACTCACAATCCCTGTTTTTAAACGCTGTCTCCTAAAAGCTTCGTAAAGTTAAAGTAACGAGACCTTTCCAGCTTCAACTAGCGGTGTGTCTTGTGATTTACTGTGAAAATAAACCTCGTTGTGTTTGCTTTTGATACTGCCGTGTCACTGTCACCGGGAACACCGGGGAATGCTTGAATGTCAAATTAGATGAAAAGTAACCAATCAGGTTTCCGTAAAGTACGTCACGAGTGAATGACTCAGTGCTACCGCAGTTTGCAATCGTGTTAGTTTGCAGGCTCTAATTTAAGCGCTGACTTTCTTACCCAGTAGCAAGATCTAAGAGGGGCGATGATGGCAGTAGACAGTTTTGATAGCGATTCAGCAGCAAGGGTCTGCAGAATTATACATTTCTTATGATAAAACAAAAATTTCGTTGTATTATTTTTAAAAATCGGACAGTTTTGAATAACTAAGATTTTAAAAATGTCAGCTATCTATAGGTTTCTACTCTTCATGATAAGCGGAAAAATAAGGAAACAAATACTCAATGAAAAAAGTTGTAAGAGGAATTAACACGCACATACATGCGCACCTTTTAATCTTCTAAACAACTTTATATTGAAATAACTGAATTGATAAGAACCAAAAGATCAAACAAACAAAGATACAATAAAGGAAAAAAGTCAAAAGGAAGTATTTACATATCTACGTAGAAACGGTGCTGACACGCGATTAAATTCCGCTCTTTTGGGGAGGCAAACATGAATATCTGGCCAAAAGATAAAAGATCGTGCATTGTGAATCGTATGTTGCACAAATCTATGGCTGTACACTTTTTTTTCCAAGTATCTGTTATCTCTTGTTAACAACTTCTTATTGAAAAGAAAAGAAAAAGAAAGATAACAAGCAGATGTAAAATGAACGCCGAAAAAACAACAATAACACAAAAGGCAGGGGTAGCCAACGTGAATATAGTTCAAAACCACTTAAACATAGCATTGTTAAACGTGTTTTAGTATTTAAACGGTGGATATGGGCGTATTTGTATCCCCTATAAATTTTTCATCTGTTCGGATTTCCTAGCTGAAAGTCTAGTGATCCGAAAATTATAAGGAATCAAAACTTACCCGTTCGAAAATTTCAGCCAGAAAAAAGGCTCCCGAAAATTCTGGGTGACCTTTTTAGGGTAAAAATCCGTTGAAAATGGGCAATTTTACCATTTTTTAGATGTTCGAAAATCCTAGGAGAGGCAGGCAAGCAAGAAATTTTACAACAAATGTTCCGAAAATTCTAGATCAAAATCGTTTTCCGAACAGATTTTTCCCGAAAATTGTCGTTGGGTGCCCCCTGAAAAGGAAGAGATAACAGATCTCTCAGCCTAAGAGTGACGTTCTGACACGCGATGAAACTTCTCTCTGTTAAGGAACAAGATGTCCGGCTAGTTTCAGTTGGTGTTGAAGGGTTGCCAAAGCCACTAGTGTTCAAAGAAGATCGTGCATTGCCGTACGTCATTCTGATTCAGCTTACGTAGATAGTGTCCGCCGATGGGGAGAACTATTGGGAATCTTCACTCTCTAACCACGATATGTACAGAGTCAGAGATATGCTCCTTTTAAGCCCCGGTTCGTTGGCCCTTTATCATTTTGGTCTGACCTTGGGTACAGATTTTACTGTCATGGCTTGATGCGTTGAAAGCAACCGTTTGAAAATCTAGCTCTTGAGGAGTGTGGTCTGCTTATGACAACACCAGGACTTTAAAGCCCTTTTTGAAGGGCTAACATGTTAAAACACGTTGCACAAACCAAAACTAGTTCCTGCAAAGGGATGGACTTACGTAAGGTCTGACCTGGAATCTGATGCTCTTCTTAGTACACGCGTTACAAGCCCAGCTGGTTTTTCTTCCCCAAGGTCGACCAAGCGCTGAAGTCACGTACAACAGTGTAGGTCCCGCAACTGAACGTCTCAAGTAAGTTATGGAAAGTTACACTATTCTTATTGTCTCTCATGGAAAGAATAATCCGCTCCCAGAGTGCTCCGTGAAAACAAGTTTTTAATTTAAGTGCCACCAGAGGGGAAACCGGTTTTGCTTTCACACTATTGAAACTGAACAAAGGAGGAAAGCATTACTATAAATTTCTGTTGCAAAGGCCTTCATCCTGAGGGAGCACTCGCTGGCTGCGAGTTTGACAGTAATTCGTGTATACAGACACTTGGCTCCGCCATGTTTTCCCAAGCCTTCTCACTTCACTTCGGTAACGTATCTAAGGTGAATACCGGGTGACCCGAGACGCATTAGCCGCGCGGAATGATGAGGCCTAGGGACTGGGCAAGCTCCAATTCCAAGACTACTGACGTGATCACAGTCAAAACTTAACCAACAAAAATCTTGTTCCGGAACATTAATTACTTCCAAAAGTTACACAGGAGTGTAACGGTTTGAAGGCTAGTTACACTTTTGACTTAACAAACATGTTTACACTTAATAAATATCAACAGGTTGTTATCGGCTTAGAGAGAAGTTAAGACTTAATTAATAATTTATACTTTAGCTTCTTTATGTTTATCAGCGAAAGCAAAAATAGCTCAATAACACTGAATAAATCCTCTCTTAACAGCTCAACGTTTAGGAGCAGTATTTTAATTATTACAGTAATACTATTCCAGACTTCGTAAGTAAGTAATGAATTACTTCTAAAGTCTGGAAAAGTATTGCTGTAATAGTACGGAAAGTTATATATTTTCGTCTCAATATACTGTACAAGTTTCTTGGTACGCAGCCTTTGTTTGTCCAAAGCTAACCCACCCTCACGTAATATCATAGCGTAATGGCCAATTGTTTAAGTAATTTTAAATGCGCGATTTCTTGGCAGTATTTCACCCTGGCCGCAAGTTATTATGGGTAATTTTGGCCACACTTCTAGCGGACACCTATTAAGCGGACACCTTTGGGATCTTCCTAAGTCTCCGCTTAATAGAGGTTTGTAAAAATTGCGCAATGTTTGTTAAAGATTTCACTCAACGGTTACTCTGTACGGTGATAAAGTTCCACGTTGTTAATTAAGGAAGCGCGCTAAGGAAGCTGTGCTTTTGTGCGAGACTTTTAGGTGAACTTTTGACAGCTAAATGTATTGATTTATCTTTATTAATCGACCATAGTACGTATTTCAAAGACGTAATCCAATACTACCATGACCCGGCTTAGTGTCCGAGGGTGTCCGCTTAATTGGGGGTCCGCTTAATAGAGGTTTCACTGTACTAAATGTTCTCGAAACCGAGAATGTTTTGATCAAAGCTTTGTAAATCGAACTGAATTAGTGCATGGAGCCTTGTATTTCCAGTTTTTATCTCACCTATTGTATATAATATGTGTGAAAATCTTTATTACGAATCGGTATATTTCAAAGAGCTACACAACGACCAGGCATACAATAGAGAGGAGAAGTCGTTACGTCACGTTGTCATGGTAGCAAAATTTTGGGATGACAACAAAACAAAAATTTACCAAAAAAAAAGTAAATTTGCACTGTTTCAAACTTCATCGATCTTATTCTCCTCTCTATTGACGAGGGCAGCTGCAGTGTCAACTATAGCTGCCCCGGCTTTTGCATTGATTCCAGTAATTTGCAAATAAAAGGCGGTCTGTGACTTCATGTGGCTACTGTTTTAGTTTTGTAGCATATATTGCAGTAAAAAAAGGAATGTATAAACCAAAAACGAAAAAAAAAAAAAAAAAAAAAAAAAAAAAAAAAAGGAACATGACAAAAAAAAAACAAAAAAACAAAAACCCACAGGGGGAGGAAGGAAAGACCAAAACACGGCGCAGGCGGGGTTGAAAATAAAAAAAAGCACAAAAGACGAAAGAAAAACAAGAACAATCGCGGAAAAAAAAAAAAAAAAAAAAAAGGAAAAAAGAAAAGGTACTTGACAGGATTCGAACCTAGCACCATCAGCCCCACGCGACTTCACCTCACCACCACACCACTCAACATGATTGTGTGATCTTTGCGAAAAGTCCCAGTAACGAAGTTAACCCTCGTACTAATCTGAACCACTTCCTGTGCGTCTTAAATTTGGTAACGCCCCTAATCGTGCTGCAGGAAATTAAATTAGGAATTTAAGGAAAAACAAAAAGCCAAGAAAAAAGAGGGCGAATAAAAAAGGAAAAAAAAAATTCATTACTAGGGCTCGAACCCCGTACTGCACGGTCGTCAGGTACACGATCACTGTCGGGCAGAAGCACGATCGCAGACGCATCATAAAATTATATTTTTATACAACGATTTTCCTCTTATTTTAAAGCTGTTGGTCCAAATCGCTTCCATTTTCTTTGAAAAATATTTCTGCCGTCGAAATGCATCGTCAAAATATTTTTTTTAAACCGCTTTTTAAAGTGCGGCCGCAACGTCAACCCGACCAGGATAGTGGGCTTCATGTGCAAGTTTACGGACTTAAGGACTTACTCTAGCCTGAGTGAAGGCGCTTGAAGGTAGTGGGCACAAGAAAACACCTCGCGTGTCTCCCTCGCGCGCGCCTGTTCTCTCTTCCACCCACTACTTCCAAGCGCCTGCTAAGCAGGCTAGACTTACTCACAACATAGTCAACGGTAACCACGACAACAAAAGGTTTGCAACAATGTATCACTAGAAATATGGTGAACACATTAAATTATTTGCTTGCGTTCGATCTAGTGCTGCACTTACAATTTGTAGGTAGCTACAGTTGTAATTAAGCTGACTAAACACCTTTGACCAGTAAATTTTCAGACTTTTGAGTTTTAAATTTTCGAATTCGATCGAATGGCTGCTGGCAGTACACAAACCATGCGCGCTTGCTGAAAAATTTCCTGTCGGACCACATGCGCGCGTAATTGCATCAAATCGGGGACCCTTCGCATACTAGAAAGTAGTGACAGTGAACATTATTTCTAGTGGACAGAAATGAGCGAATCTAACGAGTTCTTCTGAAACAAGAGAGGGCCTAGAGAGAAGTAACGTTGTATTTAACACGCGACCACCCTCGGGTTCATCACATTTGTCTGGCTGAGTTTTGCCTTCGTGGCCGGCGTTTGAAAGGGAAGCGAAAGGGGACTTTAGAGCGAGATAAGTGCGATGGGCGCATGGTCTCGAGCCCAAATTCCCTTCACGCCTTACCTTTCGAATGCGGCCTGCCACACAGGCTAGGCTAAGTTCCACGTTTTGACTCGGGCCTTAGTCCATGGAATATATAAATCAGGCAATTTGTAAGCTGAGGGCAACATTTAGTTTGTTGATGCCTAATATTTTGTTCCAGTAAATTATTCGTGTGCTACGTATTCATGTTTGATGTTGACACGATCGTAGAGAGGTTTTTCTCTTGCGTGCGGAAGGATGCTTTGGTGTCGGCCGCACGATAGTCACGATCCACGTTCAGTCTGAAATGTCACACGTCTCCACTCCCTCACCCTCGCCCACCACGGGTTAGAGAGTGGAGATGTATGGTACACAGAAGACGCAGCCTGTAGAGCAGAACTTGGCCGATACCCTCTATCTATAGACATAAGGGCTTTCCTTTTATTTTGCAGACAAAGATTAGCGCAAAAATCGGACAACCCTCTCTTAAATGAAGCTTTTGTTTATGCAAGAAACTACAGCCGCGCGCCAGGTTTTTGCTTTATTACAGTGGTGAAACAATACAAATACACCACAAAACCGAGGTAATAAATCAGCAACGTGTTAAGACTGTTAAGAACATTAATTCTAGCATTAATTAAATAGAGGATATTACATGGCCGCGCGGAGATACGAAATTTCTCTTCGAGTGTTGAACAAATATTTTTTTAACACTCGAAGAGAAATTTCGTATCTCCAAGCGGCCATGTAATGTTCTATTTATTATATAAACACCAATGACATACAAAACCATTTCACTTTAATAGTTTTTTGGTGTGAAAGGCGCGATTTATTATGAAGCCATAGCAACGGTGATATTTTCTGAAGATATCAAGTTTTCCCGCGAAAGCTCACCTGGTGTTTTATTGGTGTTTATATAATAATAATAATATATAAACAACAGTTACAAAAAAAAAAAATTTCAAGATTGGTTAAAAGCTCGAAGCAACGTACATATCAGATAGCTAGAGAGAAAAATATACAAACAAGGAAATTAAAAAAAGATTACCATTTAGAAGAATATCGTAAGACAGTTAGAAATCCAGATCATAAAATCAGTATGACTAAACTGCGATTAGGAGTTCATTCTTTACGCATACAAACAGGGAAATATGAAAAGAAAGGGGCATCCACACCAGTAGAGGAAAAGCTTTGTTTAGTTTGCAAAAGAAACTACATAGAAAACGAAAAACACTTCTTAAAGCATTATATGGAATACGATAATCTTAGACAGAAACTTTATTTACATATTTCAGAAAATAATACAAACTTTGATACAAACTTGGTCAACTTAACAGATCATGATAGAACTTGATATTTACTAAGATTGCCAAATATTTCCATCTAATGTTTCAAAAAAGAAAACAAGTTTTGAGCCAATAATCTAGTTAATTAGAAATAAATTTATAATCTTAATAGTTTTTTAAGGGGTTCGTCACGCGTTCCTGCCCCACTAACAGGAACGCGTGACGAACCCCTAAGAACGTCTGCGTGGGAGGCTAGCTACGCAGGCTATCTCATATGCTAAAAAATAATTTTATCGCATGATATAATGCCCTTTGAATGGTGAAAGTATTACAAAATGTGTTGAGGGGAATAATTTGCCTGTTTGCATTGAACAACTAATCAAATTTGTGGCGTGTTTACATTATTTCCGGCCGCCATATTTGTGGTAAAGGAGGAGTACAAATATGGCGTCTCCATAATGAGAGCTATAAATTTCTGTTACACATTTTGAAGAACAACTCAGCAGCGGAAAACTGCACAGACGTGAGACTTGGCCAGGTTGTTAATTTATCGATATTCTATACTATCTGAAAGTCTTGGCTTCAGACATTCCAAGGTTTTGATGGCGTGACAGTGAAAACCACCAATTGTGTAATGAGGCAGTGTAGAATGCAGACTGCGCACTGACTGCAGACTATTGTTTTTAGGGTTAGAAAACAATGGCACTATTGTTGTCACGTTCTCATTTGCATGGTGAAAACAATAGTCTGCAGTCTGTGTTTTACACTGACCATTGTAATTTTGTTGTTTCTGTTCATGTTTTACATAATTTGTTGTAGTAGCGAATATAAAATCTTTATAATAACTAGGCCAATACCTCCCTTTGGAGAGTAAGGCGCAATAAAGATATACTATACTACACTATACCCCATGATACAGGCCGGGCACTGTCTATAGTCCGCTCAGTGTCCCTATTATCGAGTCATATTTTTTCATTCATTTGTTCATGTACAGCATGGATCTGCGATATTTAGCTTCTTTAAAAAAAAAGTATTTTGCTTTGCTCACTTGTGGGCATTTGCTCAATTGTATTGTGTGAATCTCCTCATCCGGCCTTGGTTATGGGGCGTTCACAGTCTGAGAGAAAAAAGTATCACGAGAAGTGGGAAAGGGGAATCTAATGGGCACGCTTATTATTAGCTAGATTATATCGTTTCATCCGAAATTAACCAAGATCGTTACAACTGAACAGCCGAAGATTATGGCCAGTACCTTAAAAAGCTGATCCTTATTTCCGGCAAGCTCTCGCTGAAATATTTCAAAAAACGTGACAAACAAAAATGTACCATTCGCCATCCCTTGCAGAATCGCTGTAGAAAGCTTCCCGGGGAGATTGGCTGAGATGTGAAAGACAGCCATGCCAATCCCTATGCCAGCTGGGCCAGTGACGGAGAAGAGAACGGATGATTTTGCTATCGTCTTTGCCTCCATGTTGTTTTCTTTCAAAATGATACCAAGTGAAAATGCCATAATTGTTTTGTGGACCGTTACGGCTCCTGCTATTTGAACCAACTGATCGAAGTCTCCAATCAATCCGATTGCAATTCCTTCCAGAAGGGAATGCAATGATAACGCAAAGATCAAAATATAGACTGTGACAGCATGATCCGGTGTTTCCCTTGAAGGTTCACGCCCCGAAGGATGCAATAGGGGTTGTCGTTCGCGATGGTGTGACATGTGCAGATCAATGCCTCCAGAATGGAACTTGTGAACAATCATCTCTATTGTTAAGATCAAAAGAAAGCCAAAGCATGTTGTGAACTCTGCCACAGGAAAATCGGTGTGAATGCCAGCCAGTTCAAAAGCTTCTTGATATTCTTCTCTGATCATTGGGAACATGTCGAGCAGGGACGTTGCGAAGAAAATCCCTCCGGCGAAGCAATGGAATAAGCTCATTAACTTTGTGCCGGTTTTCCTTTGTGATCCTCCAATTTTTATCGGAAGAAGACCGGCAAAGAGCGTGAATAAAAACAAAAGGGGAATTGCGATTTCTTTGAAAATTTCGCTCTTCATATTAGATCAGTCACCAAAAATGTAGTCTAACTTTGGAGTTGGCGCGATTCACGAAGTTAATGTAGCAAGACCAACAGACGGATGTGCATGAATAAGCTGCGCTTTGATGACCTCAATTAAAGCATTAATATTTTCATGTGACGTTCACGTGGAAAGAGTTATGCGCACACGCGAGCGTCATCTGTTTTAAGAAAGTGAGTTTACGCAACAGGACGGCAGATACCTTGGCTCCAGGGGTCCGTTCTCAAAATACTGCAATATGAAATAAACCGTGCTTACCGCGAAATCCCGAGGAGGCACTCTGGTAACTCGCGCGTATCAGTTAAGGAAATTACTTGCAGTTGAAATATACAGTCAGTATGCCGGAAAAAAAATCTCGATTTCCTTTAACCGTAGCCTCCCACGCAGGCGTTTTTAGGGGAGCTCGTTTTTCATTTCCTCCCATGAAAAACGAGCTCCCCTAAAAACGCCTGCGTGGGAGGCTACTTTAACCGGGGCCGCGAAGAATTGGTAGATAATGATGACGTTTCTAATGTTAGCGCCCGCACGTACGAGATGGTTAGGATGACGAAAAACAGAACATCCCGAAGGGACCGCTTGGGTAGATTTTCGGACATTCAGTTGTATACTTTGTTGTATACAATCATACTTGCGTTACTCTTTAGCGTTACGTGTTATCAATGACATTCTGTTGAGCAGCTGTTTCTCGAAAGTTATACACCAAAAGACACTCATTAAGTGCAGACGAAGTTATAAGGGGCGTTTAACTGTATACATATATATATAAACACTTAAAGAATTTGCCAGACACGAGTTCGCAAATCTTTCAGGTCAGAAATGTGACTTTATTAAAATTCGGTAGATCAGATACATGCGATGCCGAGAACAGTGCTACAATAGCGTTGTCTGGGTTATCCCACCGATCCCTCCATCCGTAGTCCTGCTGCGATACTGTCCTGAGTGTCCATCGACCGATACACAGGACTGACAGGCGTTATTTACGCGATGCGCGGCTGATATAGCATACGCCCCGTAACCGGTAAGCCTGGTACCCTCAGAAAAGGGTCGTTGGGTTTTAAATCAGTTGTGTGAAATTTTTGCTAATGAGACTGCCGGGTTTAAAAATTTTGCTCTATTCTTAGTTTACGAAAGCTAGGAAATTTCTAGGTGCCGAAATCAGAATCTAGAGATTACTACGAAAGCTACGAAATTTCTAGGTGATCTAGAGATTACTACAAAATCCGAAATTCTTAGGTGAACAAACCACACACTAATCCCGAAACTCTGAGCCCAACGAACAGTCACCACGAAACATTTTCGAAATTTTTAGCTGTTCTTGGGCTCCCGAAAATTTTAGCCATTCTAGAGGGCTCCGAACAGATATTTCCCCGAAAACGGTCGTTGGGTGCTCCTGATCTTTGATTGAAAACAATTTGCCAGACACTCTTTCTCTCTCTTTGGAGGAATAAGTTTCAGTCGAGAACGGATGTTTTATGAGTCAAATTAGTCAATGAGTCACGAGTCATGAGTCAAGGAGTCAATGAGTCAGATCTGAAAAAATAAACGTTTCGGTAGAAATAATAAAATTAAGCATTACTTTTACTTCATTTGTCAACTTGCTTCATTGCTGCCTGATGCAAGGCCTATTTCTGACACGAAATCTCAACCTGGGTTGTTTGTTAGCAGTATCCCAGCCCCTGCCGCTACTACTACGTGCATGCCCCGAAAAATAGCCTTCCCAGACACCCTTCAAGAACTATTTAAACCATCGGGCCCAAACATCAACACACCGAATATCAAAGAACGACTGTTCCCAGATTTGAGTCTTCAGTGAGCGCTAAGAAATTCCATAATATAGGTTTATCTCAATTTACTTTAAGCGCTGTGATCAAAGGGAATTAAAGACTTTCTTCCGAGGCACTCACAAATTTAATACGCTGGCTTATTTTTGGCTTCTGCTATGCGCCTGGGAACTGCTAACAAACAGCCTGGGTCGAGATTTCATGTCAGAAATAGGCCTTGCGCAGGCAACAATGAAGGAGGTAGACAAAATAAGTAAAAGAAATGCTTAATTTTATTGTTTCTACCGAAACTTTTATTTTTTCAGATCTGACTCATTGACTCATGACTCACGACTCATTGACTCATTTGACTCATTAATACTTTACACTCGTTTCAGTCACCTACGTCACCGGCAAACAAGCAAGACGAGTGAATCAAAGGTTAGCTTATCACTAGCAAAACATTGGACGATTACAGAAATTTGCCGACAATCAAATTCTGTGCCGACTTGTTCTCTGCCCACAGATGTTTTTCTATGAAGTTTAAAAAAAGACTAGAACGTGCGAGCGTGAATTAATCAAACCTTTTAATTTCTAAGGTTTACTTTCCGGCAATTAACATGAACTGTACGTGAAAGGTGAAAGAGAAATAGCGTAAAATTCCAACTTCTAATTAAATCTTTTCTTATGGTTAAGAATAAAATGTTCTCGAAATTGAGAATGTTTTCAGACCAAAGCTGTAAAATCGAACTGAAGCAGTCGTGCAGGGAACCTTGCGTTTCCTGTTTTTCATGTGTTTTTACTCTCACCTATCAGACCTATTGTATGGAATATCATGAAAATCTTCATTGTGAATCCGTATATTTCAAAGAGCTACACAACGACCAAGAATGCTATTGGCCGACAATAACGAGAGCGGGGGCAGCTGTAGTGTTATCTATTACGACTATTACTGGTATAAATAAACGGGGACTGATTCTTGCTTTACCAAGGGTTTATATCCAGTGCAGCAGTCAGTTTTCACCAAGGTTTTAGAGGATCTCATAGTTACCAACTGTATTTCAATCGTCCACAATCAACCATAGGTAGTGAACCCTCTAACCGTGTCCGTCCGGGCCGAGGGGAAGAAACGCCTTGAGCTTGACTCAAGACACGTAAATCCTCATCTTTTCAAGTACAAATTATTGGGACAGTGTCCCGATTATGCGCACGCACGAGCGTCATCTGCGACAGAGACTTGTTTGTTTAAATTACATTCTCAAATCTCAATGAGCCAACGGCAATGAAAGTAACGTCGAAAAATCCCAATTTCGCCCAAATCGAAAGCATTGATTTGTAATTCTGAGAAGTTTTAGTGTAGCATCGAACTCAGCCAAGCACGATGCAAACGGATTTTTCAAGGCTCAAAGCCGATTTAGAGGGTCTCAATGGGGTTAACCGATAGGCGTAAAACGACCAAAAATTTAGTCGATAGCCGTAAAAATTGAAAAATTTTAACCGTTAGCTGCAAACAGGGTAAAAAAGAGTTAACCGTAAAATAAACTGTTCTCTAGATTTACTACTTTTAAGCCGGTACTAAACTCACTTATGGTTGCGTTTTTTATTTCCCGGCTAGTGTGATTCCGTACGCACGTTAGGCGAAGCGCGTTTTAGGTGTTGACCAAGACCGAGGCTCCATTTCCGCCACTCTCTCGAGGAACTAATTTTTTCCCTAGGGAAAGTGTGGCTTCTTGCTGGGAACAAGAGCCATGATGGGACTCTTGCTGGGGATTAATATTTGCGATTTTCAGGAGGTCGTGCCCTCGAAACACTAGTGAAACAACACGCAGAGATGTCACTGTTTGTAAAACACGTTGCCGATAAACAACATATCCCTTTTTTTCTCTGACGTTACGGTAGACATTGCCATGCCTATTCCCTGCATGTACGGCGTCTTCCCACGCAATCTCGGTCAAGGCATTTCGGTGGCGAACTCGCTGGGACCAAGTGACCCGAAACGCATTAGCTGCGCGGGATAATGTGGCCTACGGACAATTCAACGGCAGACACTCGTTCCGTACAGTCCTTCGCTATCATTAAAAAAACTGGCCACGGCAATTTTGTTATTAACCGTTTTCACGCTTGAGCTAGAAATGGATTATCCGTCTGAGACTAGCTTGTATATAGTCGTGCCCTCTCCACAGACACCCCTTCTCCGATTTTTTCTGAGGGGAGGGGGCGGCTGTACACAGGTTATCTGGGAAGGATAATCCCGTCTTCAAACTGTCCGTCGAAATTGACCGATAAAGTCAGGCGGATTGTTCATTCAAAATTAAAACTATTCCATTTTCAAATTAAGAAGTATTACCTATCTGACGCGAATCATCAAACAGATAACCCGTCTCACACGAATAATCCGTCTCTAGTGTGAAAACGGCCATAGGTTATTATGAATGTCGCGCCCCGGCCTTGAGTTGGGCGTTTGCGTGTCCGCTTTTGCTTTTTCACAAAGATTATTTTTAAATGGACTATTGACATTTCTACGTGTAAAATAATATTAGAAGTCAGGAACCGATTTCGGCTCCTGTAGAAGTTGAATACTTTATAAAAAGTATGATCTATCAAATGTTAAAATTTTTCAAAAGAATGGCTTTTTTCATCCCGAGATGATCCGAAGACCTTCATTTTGATTTAAAGATACAAAAAATACAGGTTAATTAATATTTAACTTTTTGAAACAAAAGAAGTTAATTTTTAACTTTTCTGTTAACCGTAACTGAAATAAATTAACCGATAGCCGTAAAAGGGCCAAAATTTTAGCCGATAACCGTAAAAGCCACCACCCTTTTGAGACCCTCGATTTAGACGGTACGATTTTTTGCTTACGACTATCGTGCGCGACTAGCATACGTCATGACTTTTGACCATCCACACGCGCACAATTTTCACTTACGACATCAGCAATCGCACGAATGTCGTGGGTCTAATTTAACGACATGATCTGTCGTGAAGTCATGACGCATGCTAGCTAGTCGTGCACGATAGTCGTAAGCAAAAATCGTACCGTCTAAATCGGCCTTTACTCTCCTCGCATCTTTTGAATTCGCGACACCTGTCAGAAAATCAAAGTTTGGTACATGCGCAGTAACGGGATACTGTTCCTTTTTAAAAGCAAACTATGGTGAATCCGAAAAAATGGTAACAACAAAACAAAAATTTTACATAATTGCTGGCCAACTG